AACTCCCAGGCTCAAACTGTTCTCCTGCCTCAGCCTCCCAAGTAGCTGGGATTACAAAAAAATTATTTTTGGGACTATAAATTAAAAAAATTTTTTTTAAAGAGACAAGGTCTTACTATGTTGCCCAGGCTTGTCTTGAACTCCTGGGCTCAAGCAATCCTCTTGCCAAAGGCCTCCCAAAGTGCTGGGATTACAGGAGTGAGCCACCATGCCTGGTATATTTTTTACTTTTTGAGAAAGAGTCTCTGTCACCCACGCTGGTATGCAGTGGGATGATCACGGCTCACTGCAGCCTCAAACTCCTGGGCTAAAGTGATCCTCCCTCCTTAGCCTCTGGGTAGCTGGGACTACAGGCAGGTGCCACCCAGGTAATTTATTGTATTTTTTGTAGAGATGGGGTCTTCCTGTGTTGCCCAGGCTGGAGAAAATGAAGTTTTAAAATACCATGAAAAATCACAACGAATGTATAAAACAGTGAGGAATAAATCTAATAAACAATGTGCAGGCTTTTAGGGAAAAATGATATAATTTTATTGAAAGATGAAAAACATCTAAGATCTAAATAAACAAATACTTCACATTCAAAGATGAGAAGATGGCAGCTGTGCCTGAATTAACCTATAAATGTATAATCTATCATTTTAATGCTGTTCCATTAAAAGTTGTCGCTAGGCTTATTCCAAAATCATATGGAAGAACAGGAGGCCCCAAAGAACCAAGAAAATGCTGAAAAAGAATAAAAGCTGATGGGGGTGGGGAAGGAGGGTTAGGGAATAGCTTACCAGATATGTCAGTGACCCAGGAAGTACACAGAGATCAACTGAACAGAGTAGAGGGCAGAAAAACAAGCTTATATGAGAACTTGAGTATATTACAGAAGTGGCATTACAAATCAGTAGAGAGTGGATGGGCTAATCCATCAGCAGAGAAGGGACAATTGGCCAAACATATAGTAAAATTAGACCTCTAACTTCTACCATGGACACAAAAATTCCAGATGGATTAAAGACCCAACTATGAAAAATTTATCAGCTGGGCACGGTGGCTAACGCCTGTAATCCCAGCACTTTTGGGAGGCTGAGGCAGGCAGATCACGAGGTCAGGAGTTTGGGACCAGCCTGGCCAACATGGTGAAACCCCGTCTCTACTAAAAATTCAAAAATTAGCCGGGTGTGGTGGTGGGCACCTATAATCCCAGCTATTCCGGGTGGCTAAGGCAGGAGAATTGCTTGAACTCAAGAGGTGGAGGTTGCAGTAAGCCAAGATCGCACCACTACACTGCAGCCTGACAGAGCAAGACTTCATCTTGTGGGGGGAAAAAACTAAAACAAAAACAAACTTATCTTAAATATTTACATTCCCTACAGGACTGTAAGCTCCCTAACTTAAAGTGTGTTTTGTATAAGTATGTATTCAATCCAATTTAATATATACGAACACTCAGAAGCTAGAAAACCTTTACGAAAGCTGGGAATCCGGTGGCTCACGCCTATAATCCCAGCACTTTGGAAGGCCGAGGCGGGTGGATCACGAGGTCAAGAGATCGAGACCATCCTGGTCAACAAGATGAAACCCTGTCTCTACTAAAAATACAAAAATTAGCTGGGCATGGTGGTGTGCGCCTGTAGTCCCAGCTACTTGGGAGGCTGAGGCAGGAGAATTGCTTGAACCCAGGAGGTGGAGGTTGCGGTGAGCCGAGATCGTCCCACTGCACTCCAGTCTGGCTAACAAGAGCGTAACTCCATCTCAAAAAAAAAAAAAAAATAGCTGGGGACCATGGCTCACATCTGTAATTCCAGTACTTTGGGAGGCTGAGGCAGGTGGATCACCTGAGGTCAAGAGTTGGAGACATGGTGAAACACTGTCTCTACTAAAAATACAAAAATTAGCTGGGTGTAGTGGCGGGCGCCTGTAATCCCAGCTACTCGGGAGACTGAGGCAGAGAACTGCTTGAACCCAGGAGGCAGAGGTTGTAGTGAGCTAAGATCGCAATTCTGCACAGAGTGAGACTCCATGTAAAAAAAAAACAACAAAAAAACTTTGAGAACCTCAGAGCTTTATTTCCCATATATTCATCATTTACACACTTGGTTGTATCAGATTTTTACATTTTTGCCCAATCTAACAGGTGGAACAGGTGTGAAATGGCATCTTGTTATTCTAATTTGCATTCCCCTGATTACTAGTGATGCTGGGCATCTTGTTCATGTGTCTAATACGCTCTCTAGGTTTAGCCACCACACCCAGCTAATTTTTGTATTTTTAGCAGAGATGGGATTTCACCATGTTGGCCAGGCTACTCTTGAACTCCTGACTTCGTGATCCTTCCGCCTCATCCTCCCAAAGTGCTTGGATTACAGCTGCGAGTCACCACACCCAGCCTTTGAGACAGAGTTTTGCTTTTGTTACCCAGGCTGGAGTGCAATGGCGTGATCTCGGCTCACCGTAACCTCCGCCTCCTGGGTTCAGGCAATTCTCCTGCCTCAAACTCCCGAGTAGCTGGGATTACAGGCACACGCCACCATGCCCAGCTAATTTTTTTTGTATTTTTTAGTAGAGACGGGGTTTCACCATGTTGACCAGGATGGTCTCGATCTCTTGACCTTGTGATCCATCCGCCTCGGCCTCTCAAAGTGCTGGGATTACAGGCGTGAGCCACTGCGCCCGGCCTTGTTTTGAAGAGACAGGGTCTCAAGGTGTTGCACAGGCTGGAGTATAACGGCACAATCATAGCTCACTGCAGCTTTGAACTTCCGGGCATTAAGTGATTCTCCTGCTTTGGCTTCCCCAAAGTAGCAGGAACACATCACTACATCCAGCTAATTTTAAATTTTTTTGTAGAAATGAGAGTCTTGCTATGTTGCCCAAGCTGGTCTTGAACTCCTGGCCTCTAGTGATCCTCCTGCCTCAGCTTGCTGAAGTGAGGGATTACAGGTGTGAGCCAATGTGCTCCACAAATTCTTATATTCTTTTTTGTTTTTGTTTTTTGAAACAGTCTTGCTCTGTTGCCAGGCTGGAGTGCAGTGGTGCGATCTCAGCTCACTGCAACCTCTGCCTCCCGGGTTCAAGGGAGTTTCACCATGTTAGCAGGATGGTTTTGATCTCTTGTCCTCATGATTCGTCCACCCTGGCCTCCCAAAGTGCTGGGATTACAGGCATGAGCCACCACGCCCGGCCAAATTCTTACATTTTTACAACTCACTTTGGAGAGGTATTAAAGCTGAATTGGCTAAAGAACAACAACTGCAGAACTTGAACTTGTAGCTGGATTACAGGTGCCTGCCACCACGCCTTGCTAATTTTTTGTATTTTAGTAGAGATGGGGTTTCGCCACGTTGGCTAGGCTGGTCTGGAACTCCTAGCCTCAGGTGATCCGCCACCTCAGAGGTGTGAGCCACAGTGCCCAGCCGCAGCACTTTTTTAACAGGGGGAAAAAAACAGCAATGGGACAACTACCTGCCCCTCAGGAGGGAATAAACTGTGGGTTACAGTTTATTTAATTAATTAATTTATTTTTTTTGAGACCGAGTCTCGCTTTGTTGCCAGGCTGGAGTGAAGTGGCGCGATCACGGCTCACTGCAACCTCCGCCTCCCAGGTCCAAGCAATTCTCCTGCCTCAGCGTCCCAAGTAGCTGGGACTGTACAGGTGCACACCACCATGCCCAGCTAATTTCTGTATTTTTAGTAGAGTCGGGGTTTCACCATGTCGGCCAGGATAATCTCCATTTCTTGACCTTGGGATCCACCTGCCTTGGCCTCCCAAAGTGCTGGGATTACAGGCGTGAGCCACCGCCTCTGGCTGGTTACAGTGTACACAATGGAATTCATAAGCAGTTCAGATGAATAAATATCTATAGGGATTCAAAGATAATTCCCAAAATCCATGTTGAGGCTAGACACGGTGGTGTCTACCTGGGAGGCTGAGGCAGGAGGACAGCCGGAGTCCAGGACGTCGAGTCCAATCTGGGCAGCATAAGCAGTCTTCTATGGACAGCAAAAGAGGGACTATATCCCGCACAATGCCCAGCAAATAGGCATTCTCTCTGTCTATGTATCTACCTACCTACATATCTATCTAGTCTGATATTATATATTTATATTCTGATATATACTTAAGTCCCTAATTATTAGATTAATATATATATACTTAAGTTCCTAAGTAGACTAATACATATATTCTAGTAATATGTAGTGATATTATATTCTAATATTAGACTAATACATATATTCCAGGATATTAGACATCTATATTCTGATATATAGTTAAATTCCTAAGTAACTATTAAGTACTTTTATATATGTAATATATATAATGTACATATTAGTCTAAGGAATTTGTGTAGGCTAAGGGGTGCTTGCTGAATATGAGAGCAGGCCACAGGAAGAAGATCGGATGCGAGTGGGTGGGGGTGGAAAGGTCGAAGAATTTGGGAGCCAAATCTTGAGAGCTGGCGGGATAGAAGTGGTCTGTCTGGGAGAGACAGACCTCTCCAGACCTGGGAGAGATCTGGAGGTTGCTGGGGCCGAAAGAGTAAAATTCGGCTGGGAAGAGGGTTGTCAGCACCGTACCTTTCTCATTGCGAACCGGGACGGCCCCAGCCGTAGACTGAATGGGCGGTTGCTTCATGAGAGCGCTTGGGACCGACATGTTGATGGCAGCGACGGTGATTCCCGAAACTTGACTAATTCCAAACAGTGAACACCAACAACGTCAACGAAGAGAAGCGATCCCTTCCACCTACGTTCACGAACACAGCTGCTCGACTGATAGCGAAACCGCTTACGGCTGGGCTAGATAAACCGGAAATATGTAACGAGAGGATTGTGGGACGGTGGAGGACCTATGAGCGCCCACAGCTAGGAAGTTGCGTCTGTTTCTGCGCCTGCTCTTCGGCTGCCCTCGGGTCCTCTACGTCGCAGAAATTGGAAACCGCCTTTGGCGGGAAATTTTGCTTCTTTTGGGCTTTGCTGGTAGGACCGGCGGACCCTGCGGTGAGGAAGGTTCTAATGAAAGGTTCCACGTGTTAGGTTGGTTAGAAGCCAAGAACAGCATAATTAATAAGAAACTGAGGCGCCAGTGAGTTGCCGTTTGGCTTGTTGAAAGCTCAGAAAAAGTAGAGTTAGATGGAGTAAAAATCTTGGTAATAGTATCTGATTAGGTCAGTTGATGAGGCCAGTGTGAGCTGTGGTGCGGTATTTGGTGTCACACAGGGCAGGTGGTGCTGATTTAATCCAGTGACCAAAAAAAAAAAAAAAAAAAAAAAATCCCCCAAGGTGCCTGAGACATTGCCTGCCCGAAATCCCAAAACTCCACTTCTAGGCTTTCAGGTTCTTCCACTGGTAGTTGGAAACTACCTATTAAAATATATTCCTGGCTGGAAAGTGTTTGCATTTAAGTTTCTAGGTAATTATTATTTTGAGACAGGGTTTTTTTTTTTTTGAGGCAGAGTTTCGCTGTTACCCAGACTGGAGTTCAATGGCACGATCTCCAGCCTCTGCCTTCTGGGTTCAAGCAATTCTCCTGCCTCAGCCTCCCGAGTAGCTGGGACTACAGGCGCGCACCACCATGCCCAGCTAATTTTTGTATTTTTAGTAGAGACAGGGTTTCACCTTGTTGACCAGGATGGTCTCGATCGCTTGACCTCGTGATCCACCCACCTCGGCCTCCTAAAGTGCTGGGATTATAGACGTGAGCCACCGCGCCCCACCGAGACAGGGTCTTGTTCTGTCACCCAGGCTGGAGTGCAGTGGCGCGATCTCGGCTTACTGCAGTCTCCACCTCTCGGGTTCAAGTAATTCTTGTGTCTCAGCCTTCTGAGTAGCTGGGATTACAAGCACCCGCCACCACGCCCTGCTGATTTTTGTATTTTTAGTAGAGGCGGTTTTACCGAGTTGGCTGGGGTCAAGGGATCCACCCACTCCGGCCTCCCACAACCTGGTAATTTTTGTGTTTTTAGTAGAGGCGAAGTTTCACCATGTTGCTCAGGCTGGTTTTGAACTCCTGACCTCTGATGATCCGCCCGCCTCGGCCTCCCAAAGTGCTGGGATTACAGATGTGAACCACCGCGGCCGGCCTATTTAAGAACTCTTTAAGGACTTGTAGAATAATAACAGAAGCAGCCCCAATTTACCAGCTGGGTTGTGTAAAAAAAGAAAAAAAAGAAAAAAAGGGAAAGGGCATATTTCACAGTAGGAAGGACTTTATCATTGTGGGGGACACAAGGGACAGCAGAAACAGTCTTGCAGTCCAGAAACTGTGCATTATACAGGACACCATGAAAAGTTTGGTTTTATCAGTAATTTTTGAGTCGTGGAGGGCCTTGAAGTTGCTGTTAATATGATTTACCCAAATTACTTCAACTGTATTCTATACAGTTGGGCCTTGGGTGGACCAGTCTCAGTCAGGTAACAGTGTGGGACCCAGTTAAGCAACTAAGGAAACAGTTTTGGGCTAGAAGGAACCTTAAACAGAAGAATAGCCAAAATCTTATTTTATATTTATTTATAAAAGAGACAGGGTTTTGCTGTCGCCCAGGCTGGAGTGCCGCAGCATGATGCCTCACTGGCTACATCCTTCTAGGTTCAAACCATTTTCCCACCCCTGCCTTCCGAGTATCTGGGACTACAGACGCACAGCACCACGCAGGACTAATTTTTGTATTTTTTGTAGACATAGGGTCTCACTATGTTGCCTAGGCTGGTTTCGAAGTCCTGGGCTCAAGCGATCCGCTCCTCTCGGCCTCTCAAAATGTTGGGATTACAGGCGTGAGCCATTGCGCCCGGCCTGCCAGTGTTTTGCAGAGCGGCATCCTAGTACCACCAGAATCAGAATCACCAGTCAAAGGTAAAAATGTCAATTCAGACCAAGTACATCCCTAAGGAATTTTCAGTCTAGGGCTTTAAGATGGCTTTCTTAAGAGGCGCGCGCAACCGGGTCTTCCTGCTACTGCGCTGCGACCGCGGTGGTGCTAGTGGGTTCCGCCGCGTCCCGGCCCCGCCCCGTCCTGCCCTACTACTCGCGGCCTCGCTCCACCCCTCCCGGCCTCCTGCCGCAATCTTGGCGGGAAGGCGCCGGCCGCTAAGCAGCCGAAAGATGTCCGGGTCGGACGCGGCGGCTGAGAAGGCGAACTCCAGACAGCGACCCCAGATGAAGGTGAGAAACGGGTTGGTGCTTCCGGGTGTGCTTCTGCCTCGGTTTCTGTGGGGTTCTGCGGGATACAGGCCTGGGAGGTCGAGAGCACCTGGCATTGGGGGTAGGCGGGGATCCCTGCCCTGAGGCCTTCAGCGTCGTCGAAAAGTTTAATCAATAATCCTAGAAATAGCGGGAGGGTCAGATCTGGGATTCGCTTTCTTCAGCCTTCTGCGTTTGCTTTTGTCACACTTATGGTCAGCTTCACACTCTAAATCATTCCATCCGCAGCTGGCAGTTGCGGTAATTGCCTCTGTCATAAATGCTAGTCATTATTATTATTGGTCTGGCAAACTCTTATGGGCAAGAAATATGCCAAGTAAATGAATTCTATTGAGGTTAAGGTTAATGAATTACATATCTAGATTTTGGAAGGGAGAAAAAGTTTTCTTACAGGCTATCAATTTGGATTTATTTATTTATTTGAGACAGTTTTGCTCTGTTGCCTAGGCTGGTGTGGAGTGGCGCAATCTCGGCCCACTGCAACCTTCGCCTCCTGGGGTTCAAGCGATCCTCCTGACTCAGCCTGCCGAGTAGCTGGGATTACAGGCATGCACCACCACACTCAGCTAATTTTTCTATTTTTAGTAGAAGCGGGGTTTCATCCTGTTGGCCAGGCTGGTCTTGAGCTCCTGACCTCAGGTGATCCACCTTCCTTGGCCTCCCAAAGTGCTGGGATTACAGGTGTGACCCACCTCACCTGGCCTCAATTTGGATTTATATTGTCATCGTGAAATGGGAATTATTAGATCTGTTAGGGATCCTGTAAGGAAAGGCACAGAACTTGGAATTCTTATATTCTCTTTTCTTTTATTGATCTGAATAGGTAAATGGATATAAAGAAAATCAAAACATCGCTTATGTGTCTCTGAAACCAGTGCAGACTACAGTTTCAATAAAAACAGCTACAGTCTATCTTACCCCCTTTTCACTCAGTAATTATCAGCTAGACCAGCTTATGTGCCCCAAATCCCTATTAGAAAAGAATTCTAACAATGAAGTGGCGTGTAAGAAGACTAAAATAAAGAAAACTTGCAGAAGGATTATACCTCCAAAGATGAAAACCACATCTTCCAAGGCAGAATCCACACTGCAAAATCCATCCTCAGCTGTTCATACTGAAAGTAACAAGTTACAACACAAGAGAAGGACAGATGCGATGAATCTCGGTGTTGATACGGAAAGTAGTCAGGATGGAGACAGTGCTGAAGATATCACACCAGGCCTGGTAAGAACTTAATTAGTAGCTTGTTCTAGTTTCTCTTAAAGTTTGGAAATTTGATGTTCTGATAAAGCGAAGTTTATCAAGGATCTCTCTAATACAAACAAATTATTTCATCATTAATGTGTAACAATAAATTTCTATTATTTTTAAGGTTTAACAAGTAACTTACTTGGATTAATTTTGCTCTTGCTGTGTGTCAATGAGAGGATTGACTTAATCTTTACTCTGTTTCCCTTTTACTCCCTCTAAACTTACTGCATTTATTTTTGGGCTTACTCATACTTTATGGTGCCTTGCTCACCATTACATGTTTATGTACAATATATCAGAAGTCGTCAGTTTGTGGGACATAAGGTATTGACTGACCCTTGATATCAGGGTAGGGAAACATTAATTAATTATATTGATTTGTTGAATATATTTCCTTTAAATGCAAAAGGGGACAAATGACAGAGTAGAGAAGATACATGAGAAACACATTAGTTCTATATAATTTCAATCAATTTAAGTAATTTGGTTTGTAATTCTTTTGGCTTCTGCCTACCAGGAGGGCTGTGCTCCATTCAAAGTGACAAACTTTACACAGGACAAGATAAAACCAAACATAGTACATAACACAATGTTGCTGGAACTCAGGGAACAGAAAATGATAGTAGGTAAAGGGAGATACTATAATTGAAGGGCATTGTTATGAAATAGAAATTTGGTTTATGTGCTCTCATCCCAGAGTTAAGAACCAGGACTCATAGTGAAACAGCATGGGGTAAGTGTTAAATGAATTGGACTTGGGGTTGAGAGTCTAGCACAGCCATTTCTAAGAAACCTGTTCCTTTAAACAAATCACCTTAGTGAGGGGACTGGATAAAATCTGTGGTTCTCAAACTTTAGGCTATATCAAAATTACCTGCAGAGTTTAAGACTGGATTGCAGGGCCCCACCCTCAGAGTTTTTGATTCAGAAGTTTTGAAGTTGGAGCATACAATTTACATATCTTTTTTTTTTTTTTTCCTTTTTTTTTTTTTACTTTAATAGAGACATTGGGATGTTGTAGGGGTAGGGGTGTGTGTTGCCCAGGCTGGTCTTGAGCTCCTGAGCTCAACCAGTCCTCCTACCTCAGCCTCCCAAAGTGCTAGGATTATAGGCTTGAGCCACCACATCCAGCCCAATTTGCATATTTAACAGTTTCCTAGAGACACTGATGTTGTTAGTCCAGAACTGCACTTTGAGAACCACTGGATTAGATTATCCCTTTTGCCTTTTAGACTGTAAGATTCTGAGAATACAAGGTAAATATAAAGCAGATTTTAGTTTGATGTAAAGGAATAGGTCAGTTATTAGAGTTGTTCCAAAAAAAAAAAAAAAATTAAAAATTAAAGAAGGCAGATGGATCCACCTGAGTTCAGGAGTTCAAGACCAGCCTGCCCAAAATGGTGAAACTCCATCTCTCCTAAAAATACAAAAATTAGGCTGAACTTGGTGGTTCACACCTGTACTCCCAGCACTTTGGGAGGTTGAGGTGGGTGGAGTTTGAGACCAGTCTGGCCAACATGGTGAAACCCATCTCTACTAAAAATACAAAAATAAGCTCGACGTGGTGGTGGGTGCCTGTAGTCCCAGCTGCTTGGGGAGGCTGAGGTAGGAGAATTGCTGGAATCCAGGAGGTGAAGGTTGCAGTGAGCCAAGATCACGCCACTGCACTCCAGCCAGGGTGACAGAGTGAGACTGTCTCTTCCTCCACGCCCCACCCCAGAAAAAAAGAAATTATAAAAATTAGCCAGGCTGAGATGGGAGAATTGCTTGAACCTGGGAGGTGGATGTTGCAATGAGCTGAGATTGGGCCACTGCACTCCAGTGTGGGTGACAGAATGAGACTTTGTTTTAAAAAAATAAAGCCTCCCAAATAGCTGGGACTACAGGCATGTGCCCATCTTGCCAGGCTAATTTTGCCATTTTTATGTAGAGATGTGGGTTGTGCCATGTTTGTTGCCCAGGCTGGTCTCAAACTCCTGGGCTCAAGTGATTTGCCCACCTCGGCCTCCTGAAATGGATTACAGGTGTGAGCCACTGCGCCCAGCCAAGATACTTTTTTTTTTTTTTAAATCATTGCTGTTTTATTTAAAATTTCAAAATTACCTGAGACAAAATTTTTTTTTTTTCCTTTTAGTTGCATTTATTTTAAGGCTGAATTTACTCCCGTGCCATAAGTTTTTGCTTCTTCAGTTTCTTCTGGGATTTCTTCTTCTTCTGGGCAACCTCCTCTTCTGGTTTAGGAACAATCTGTTCCTTTTCAGTAAGGATCATCTCAATGTGGCAGGGAGAACTCATGTTAATTCGACCATGAGCTCTGTAGGTCCGGTGGCGCATCTTGGGTGCTTAAATTTAAATCATGTATATAAATACAAAGATGAACGAACATTGGTTCTTTAAACACTGACAAAATCCTGAAACCATATAATGTATATTTTTAAGCCACGTTTTCTATTTTTACAACATAGTTTAAAACTAAGTTTATTTTAAAAAGTACATAGGAAAATATAATGATTTGAGTGTTCTCAAATATATGGCTCTGAAGGTAGATCAAGTGTTTTTATCACTTAATCCATATACAGTGCAGAAAATAGATATATTAATTACAACATTTTCCTTCAGTTGATAGTTTACTCAACTGTCATAGATACTCCAGGACGGATAATCAAAGAACTCTCCAGGTTAGAGTCAAGCAAATTCTGAACACTTGGTCAAAGGAACATGAAAATGCCAGGTCCTGGCACAATAAATAGATTTAAATAACCCAGAAGGTGGTATACATCAGATAAAGACAATCTTAACTAAGCACCACAGTAACTTTGGAGGCAAGTGGTACTGTACTCTTATTAAAAAAGTCTTTTTTTTTTTGAGATGGAGTTTCGCGCTTGTTACCCGGCTGGAGTGCAATGGCGCGATCTCGGCTCACCGCAACCTCCACCTCCTGGGTTCAGGCAATTCTCCTGCCTCAGCCTCCTGAGTAGCTGGGATTATGGGCACGTGCCACCATGCCCAGCTAATTTTTTGTATTTTTAGTAGAGACGGGGTTTCACCATGTTGACCAGGATGGTCTCGATGTCTTGACCTCATGATTCACCCGCCTCAGCCTCCCAAAGTGCTGGGATTACAGGCGTGAGCCACCGCGCCCGGTTTAAAGAAGTCTTTACTGTTGAGGGCACTGCGTTTCTGGAGTTGATTTAGAAGACACATATAGAATAGGGTGTGATTTCTTACAAGTTTCTTTTTCCAATTTGCTTGCAGTTTCTTTTCCTTCTTTAACTTTTGTTTGAAGCTTTGATTCAGCAGCTAACCTGGGAGAGTTAGGGGTGTTTCCACTTCTTTCATTTAAGGCCTCAGAGTCATCTGGAACTCCTATGAGTCTCACACACTTCTTTTCCTTCTTTAGCTGCATATAGAGAGTGCCTACTGGTGTGTTTATAGAAACTAATTTTTCTAGTTGCAAGTTGTTATCTTCTAAACTGCTAGGACAGGACCGTGTCTCCTCTTTCTGAGGTGGTAATCGATAAACTTCTCCCTCGGCAGCACTGTTGTTGGCACATGCATCCTTAGAGGTAGTTATATCCACAGGCAGCACCTCACGCCTCTTTTTCAGTACAGGCACTGCAACTGTCTCTTCAGGTTCATATTTTAGTTTTAATTCTTCTAGTTGAGCTCTCAGTTTCATATTTTCACTTTCTGAAAGCTGTAAGCATCTTTCATTTGCAAAAAGTTTTTGCTCAAGATCCAGAGACTGTTGGCTCTCAAATAATGCTTTCATTCGCTGTATGGACAATTCACCTTTAGTGCTTTCATTTTCTTTAAGTTATCCAGTTTCATCTGAAGCAAATCTGTATAATAGGTGTTATATTCCAGAGCACCAGAGTACCAGAGTGGAGTGAAGGCTTAGATTCCATACTTTCATATAAATTCTTAACTTTCTCCAGATTTCTAATTTCACCTAAAAGATGTTTTATTTCACCATTCTTCTGCTCCAACATGGCAAGCAACCGTTCCTGCTGCTCAAATTCAGTTTGAGACCCTTTGATCTGTAGCAATGTGGCGATTTGTAACTTCATTCTCTGCATCTGCTCTCTGTTAAATACATTTTGCTTCCTTAGTGACTGATACTTGACTTTCATACTGATAAGCTGACATTCCATTGCTGCCCTTCGATCTTCTACCTCTGCAAACAAAGAGTTGCCTTTACTATTAGGATCCAAGGCTTGCTGGATTGCCTGGTCCAACTGCACCTGAAGATCTTCATTTGCTACATGAGCTTTCTCTAGAGCATTATAGTAAGAATCTGCTTCTTTTTCTTGCTCCTCTTTTTCCTCTTTAAAAGGCTGGTCTACCTGATGCATTAGGTTAGTAATAAGTTCTAGCTGTTCTTGTCTGTTTTGTAGTTCATTCACTTCTTTGAGGGTGGTCATCATACTCTCCATTTCTGTCAGCTCAATTTGAAGAGCCAGCATCTCTGAAGACATGCTTTCCTGCACACGTCCAGACATTATGCACAGTTCCTCTGAGTTACAAGAGAGGAGTTCCTTCTGATGATCCATTTGGTGCTTCAACTGTTTTTCACTAAGCCTAGCTTCATCTAATTCCACTTTCAATTTTTCTATCTTAGTTTTTAGTTCATTCACTTCCTGCCCATGGCTTCTGTTTAGTTGTTCTTCCAATTACTCCAGGTGTATTTTTTGTTGTTTAATAACTTCACATTCAGAGCTCAAACTTTCTAACATTCGACTCTTGAGTTCAACTTCTCTTTGAAGGGTATATTTTTCATGTTCATAACTCTCAGTCATGGTCATCATTTCATTACGACATTTATCCAATTGATTCTATAATTCATTTTGACTCTCTACTAGTTGTAAACCGTACTGCGCAGCTTTTAGTCTCTCTTCTTCAACTTCTTTGAGCTTGCATGAAAGATTTGCAATTATATCTGCTTCCACGTTCTTTTCTTTTTTTTTTTTTTTTAGCCAACTCTCACCCCAGTTCCCTGCTGTAACAGCCAGTTGCTCCTAATGAGAGATCAGGGATTCCACACTAAGGATGCTAACTCCACAGTCGCCGGCCCATTCACTCAGCTCAAGATACTTTTTTTTTTTTTTTTATCACAGGGTCTCGCTCTGTCACCCAGGATGGAGTGCAGTGGCATGATCTCGGCTTACTGCAGCCTCCACCTCCCAGGTTCAAGCGATTCTCCCATCTCAGCCTCCCGAGTAGCTGGGATTACAGGCGTGTGTCACCATGCCCGGCTAATTTTTTGTGTATTTAGTGGAGAAGGAGTTCCTCCATGTTAGCCAGGGTGGTTTCAAATGCCTGACCTCAAGTGATCTGCCTGTCTCAGCCTCCCACGGTGCTGGGATTACAGTGCCCAGCCATGTCTGTCTTTCTTGGTTTATTCTTTCATTTTGGTGAAGTGCAGCCTCTGAGAAAAAGTGTATGAGAAGCAAATATTTTGCATGTCAGAAAAAGTCTTTTTTTTTTTTTTGGGAGATAGTCTTGCTCTGTCACTCAGGCTGAAGTGCAAGTGGCACAATCTCGGCTCATTTTAACCTCCACCTCCGAGGTTGAAGTGATTCTCCTTCCTCAGCCTCCCAAGTAGCTAGGGCTGCAGGTGTCTACCACTATGCTCAGCTACTTTTTGTATTTTTAGTAGAGAATGGGTTTCACCATATTGGTCATGCTGGTCTTGAACTCCTGACCTCGTATCTGCATGCCTCAGCCTCCCACAGTGCTGGCATTACAGGCATGAGCCACTGTACCCTGCCCAGAAAAAGTCTTTAGCTTTATATTTGATTGATGACCTAATTGGATTTAGAATTATAAGTTGAAACTAATTTAATCTTTTCTTAGAATGTTTTTTTCTCTCTTTCTTTTTTTTTTTTGAGACGGAGTCTCGCTCTGTTGCCCAGCTGGAGAGCAGTGGCGTGATCTTGGCTTATTGCAGCCTCTGCCTCCCAGGTTCAGGCAATTCTCCTCTCTCAGCCTCCTGAGTAGCTGGGACTACAGGTGCACGCCACCACGCCTAGCTAAGTTTTTGTATTTTTAGTATAGATGGATGTTTACCATGTTGGCCAGGATGGTCTTGATCTCTTGACCTCGTGATTTGCCTTCCTTGGCCTCCCAAAGTGCTGGAATTGCTCCTTAGAATTTTTAATGCATTGTTCCATTGTCTTCCAGCTTCCCTCAATGTTGAAAGTTTGTGCCATTCTGATTCTGGATTCTCTGTGATCTTTTTTCCCCTTTGCATGCTTTTAAGATCTTTTCTGGCTGGGTTTGGTAATATAGGACTGTAGTTTCGGCTACTCGGGAGGCTGAGGCTGGAGCCCAGGAGGTCAAGGCTGCAGTAGGCTGTAATTGAGCCACTGCACTCCAGCCAGGGTGATAGAGTGAGACTCAATCTTTTTTTAAAAAAAAAATTGTGGTGATATGCTGAGCCCTGGGTTGGTTGGTTGGTTGGTTCGTTCGTTCGTTCTTTCCTTTCTCTCTTTCTTTTTCTTTCTTTCTTTTCTTTCTTTCTTTCATTTTTAGACAAAGTCTCACTCTGTTGCCCAGACTGGAGTGCAGTGGAAGGATCTTGCCTCAATGCAACCTCTACCTTCTAATTTCAAGCGATTCTCCTGTCTCAACCTCCTGAGTAGCTGGGACTAGAGGCATGCGCCACCACACCCAGCTAATTTTTGTATTTTTAGTAGAGATGAGACCAGTCCGGTCTTGAACTCCTGGCCTCCCACCTTGGCCTCCCAAGGTACTAGAATTATAGACATGAGCCATCGCACCTGGCCTGGTTTTGTTTTTTTTTTTTCCTTTTAACACAGAGACTTGCTCTTGCCCAAGCAGCTAGAATGCAGTGGTGCTATCTTGGCTCACTGCAACGACCACCTCTTGGGTTCAAGTGATTCTTGTTCCTCAGTCTCCCAAGTAGATGGGATTACAGGTGTGCACTACCACACCCAGCTAATTTTTTTGAGTTTTTAGTAGAGACGGGGTTTCCCATGTTGGTCAGGCTGGTCTTGAATTCCTGGCCTCTAGTGATCTGCCCAGTAGCCTCTTAAAGTGGTGGGATTACAGTGGTGAGCCTCCGAGCCTGCTTGCCTGGGCCCTTTTTCATTCATTGTGTGGCATACTCATTGGGCCTTTTTAATCTGGAAGCTCATGTCTTCAGTTTTGAGAAACTTTTAAATAATATTTTTCATTTTAAAAGAATTTTTTTAAAGATGGTGTCTCATTCCATTGCCCAGGCTGGAATACAGTGGTGTCATCATAGCTTACTACAACCTTGAACTCCTGGGCTCAAGTGATCCTCCTGCTTCAGTTCCCACTTAAATTTTTTTCTAATAATTTATTATCTTCCAGTTTCTCTGCAGTTTCTGTAACTATAAATTGGATATTGAACCTCTAAGATTGAGTCTTTATTTTTTTCTTTTCTGTCCATGTGTTGATCTCTTTTTGTTCTGCTTTCTAAATTTAAGCCTTTTAATGGATTTTAAAATTTCTATTATTGAGTTCTTATTTTTTACAATTTTCTCTTATTTTGGTGTTGTTTCTTGCATATGCTATCTCATATCTCTGGGTTTTAAAAAATCAGTTTACTAGGGGAGAACGATCCAAGATGGCTGATTGCTAACATCTCGGGATTGCAGCTCCCAGTGAAAGCTCAGAACTAGAGGACGCCACACTTTGAGACAAATTTTGGTTGCTCATGGAGCAGAAGATTCCCAGTGGAGGAGCTCCACAGGTCGCCAGCGCGACTTGTGGCCGGCGCAGCGGTTTCGCCGGCACCTTGGCGCGGCAGCTCTCGGTGCAGAGTAAACGGGACTGGTTCCCCTTCTGACTGAGGTTTGGAGCTCCGGGAAGGCAGAGTCGCCTATTATGGACTCAAGAAGGAAGCCAGACTGGAGATTCCCGGGCAGAAAAGCACCATCAGTCTTAACGCCGCTGTTTTGGCTGACGCAGTGGATTGCTCATATTTCGGCCCTGGGAATTAACAACTTGGACGTCCACTCAGAAACCTAATTTGAAAGTTGGTAATTACAAAGACAACAGGTGGATAAATTTACAATGATGGGAAGAAACCAGCGTAAAAAGGCTGAGAATCCTCAAAATCAGAACGCCTCTCCCTCTAAAGAGGATCACAGTCCCTCATCAACAAGGGAACAAGACTTAATGGAGAACGAGTGCATCCCATTAACAGAATCAAGCTTCAGAAGATGGATAATAAGAAACTTCTGTGAGTTAAAAGAACATGTTGTAGCCCAATGTAAAGAAACTAAGAACTTTGAAAAAAGGTTTGTTGACATTCTAATGAGAATAGACAACTTAGAGAGGAACATAAGTGAATTAATGGAACTGGAGAATACAATACAGGAACTCCGAGAAGTATGCACAGGTTTAAACACTCAAATTGTTCAAGCAGAAGAAAGGATATCAGAGGTCGAAGTCCAACTTAATGAAATAAAATGAGAAGACAAGATTAGAGGAAAAAGGATAACAAGGAATGAGCAAAGTCTCCAAGAAATGTGGGACTATGTGAAAAGACCAAATTGACGTTTGATAGGTGTACCTGAATGCGACGGAGAGAATGAATCCAAGCTGGAAAATATTCTTCAGGATATTATTCAGGAAAATTTTCCTAAACTAGCAAAGCAGGACAATATTCAACCCCAGGTAATACAGAGACCACCACAAAGATATTCCTCAAGAAGAGCAACCCCAAGGCACATCATTGTTAGATTCACCAGGGTTGAAAGGAAGGAGAAAATACTAAGGGCAGCCAGAGAGAAATGTCAGGTTAATTACAAAGGGAAGCCTATCAGACTTACAGCAGATCCCTCAGCAGAAACTCTACAAGCCAGAAGAGAGTGGGGGCCAATATTCAACATCCATAAAGAACAGAACTTTCAGCCCAGAATTTCATATCCAGCCAAACTAAGCTTCACAACTGACGGAAAAATAAAATCTTTTATGAACAAGCAAGTACTCAGAGATTTTATTACCACCAGGCCTGCTTTACAAGAGCTTCTGAAGCATTACACATAGAAACAACCATTATTAGCCTTTGTAAAAATATACAAAAAAGTAAAGAGCATCAACATAAAGAAGAATTTACATCGATGAATGGATAAAACAGCCAGTTAACATCAAATGGTAGTAATCCTAAATTTAAATTGACTAAATCCCCCAATCAAGAGATACAGCCAAAACCCAACGGCATGTTATATCCAGACCCATATCACATGCAAGGATACACAAAGACTCAAAGGGATGGAGAAAGATTTACCAACCAAATGGAGAGCAAAAATAAATAAATAAATAAAAAGCAGGAATTGCAATTCTTGTATCTGATAAAATAGATTTTAAAGCAACAAAGATACAGTGGTAAAAGGATCAATGCAACAATAAGAGCTAACGATCCTAACACCCAGATACATAGAGACTTAGACTCAATGAGACAAAATTAATAAGGATATCAAGGACTCGAACTCAGATCCGGAACAAGTAAACTTAATAAATATTTATAGAGCTCTCCACTTTAAATACACAAAATATACATTCTTGTCAATACCACATCACACCTACTCATAGGTTTAAATGAAACATTGATTGGCCATAATTAATACCTTTTTTTTTTTTTTAGAATAAAGCAACATTTCCATTCTCTCTCCCTCTTTTTCTTCCTTTCTTCCTCTCCTTCACTCCTTTTTTTTCTTTCCTTCTCTCAAAAAAAGAAAAAAAAGAAATCAACTTGTAGACCTCTAGATCCAGGTCGGCAATGTCTCTCTCATTGCTTGATTTCCTCCCTCCCTCCCTCCCTCCCTCCCTCCCTTCCTCCATTCCTTCCTTCTTTCCTCCCTTCCTGCCTTCCTCCCTTCCTAAAAAATAAAAAATAAATAAATAAATAATCAGTTTACTGTTACATTAGTGGCTTTTTAGGAGAAAGTAGAAACATGTACTTACTCTACTGTGTTAAAAGGAAGTTTTTTGTTTGATAAAAATAACTTTGTTTTGAGACGGAGTTTCACTCTGTTGCACAGGCTGTAGTGGAGTGGCACAATCTCGGCTCACTGCAACCTCCAACTCCTATGTTCATACCATTCTCCTGCCTCTGCCTCCTGAGTAGCTGAGATTACAGGCACCTGCCACCATGCCTGGAGAATTTGTTTTTAATTTTTATTTTTAGTAGAGATGAGATTTCACCACATTGGCCAGGCTGATCTCAAACTCTGGACCTCAGATGATCTGCCCACCTTGGCCTCCCAAAGTGCTGAGATTACAGGTGTCAGCCACTATGTCCAACCAATTTTTGTGTTTTTAGTAGAGATGGGGTTTTACCATTTTGGCCAGGTTGGTCTTGAGTTTCTTACCTCAGTTAATCTGCCGGATTCAGCCTCCCAAATTGCTGGGGTTACAGGCATGAACCACCGTACCTGGCCAAAAATAAGTTTTGAGTAATAGCACAATTAATTGCCACTAGAAATTAATTTGCTACTAGATTATACTACTTGATTCCTAATGTCACTTCTTAACTGGGAAGCCATACAGATATTTTGTGGTTATCCCAAATTCAGACTTAATGAAATATCCAATTCAGCAAACTCTTTTTGGTAAGATGGCGTGAAATAAATAGAAGTAGTACAATTTGAAGTAAAGTATACAAGTAGAAAATGAAACACGTAGTTTTATGAAGTGCTTTTGCTATAGATTATATGAAGTAATGCAGTCTTTTTTGTATAATTTTATAGGATGATTATTCTGGATTGTCACCCTACGAAAGGAAGAGACTGAAGAACATATCAGAAAATGCAAACTTTTTTGCTTCTCTTCAATTGTCTGAGGTTTGTGTGGAGTCTATATTTAAAACTAAGATGCAGGGCCGGGAGTAGTGGTTCACACCTATAATCCTGTCACTTGGGGAGGCTGAGGTGGGTGGATTGCTTGAGGCCAGGAGTTCAAGATCAGCCTTGGTAACATAAGGAGATTCCCCCCCAACCTCTATAAAAAGTAAATTAGCTGAGCACAATGATACATGCCTGGAGTTCCAGCTACTGGGGTGGCTGAGGTAGAAGGATGGCTTAAGCTTGAAAAGTTAAGGCTGCCGTGAGCTATGATGGTGCCACTGCACTCCAGCCTGGGCAACAGAGCAAGACTGTCTCAAAGCAATAATAGCAACAATGGCAATAAAACACAAGATGTCATAACTCCCAATAGAAGGTCAATAACGTATCAGGTTTCATAGTGTCAGATGAGGAAGTGTAAAATAGGAGCAGGTTTTGTACTTAATAAGAAATGGTTACCGTATTCCACTGATTCTAAGGCATTATTTTGTTGTCTTTTTTTTTTTTTGAGATAGGGTCTTGCTGTGTTGCCCAAGCTGGAGTATGGTGGCACTGATCATGACTCACTGCTTATCTTAAGGGTCTTTAGTTCCTGAATAGACCTTAGTTTAGTTTGGGCATAGTAGCAGATACTTAATATTTTAAAAGGTAAGATATGTAGTTATAACATTTTTACATGTTTTTTATACTATACAGTCTGCTGCAAGACTCCGTGAAATGATAAAGAAGAGACAGCCTCCTAAATCCAAGAGGTAAAATACCTGGTTTGCAATGCCTAAACCATGATACAGTGTTCAGTTGTTTTATAATTTGAAAAAAATGGTTTGGCATAGTAAGCTTAACAGATCATAAAGTGTTATTTAATCTCAGTCCCTGTAGGATCTCTGAGGGAATGCTTCCCTTTAATAACTTCACAGTTCTCATCTTTATCAAAGGAATGTGGAGCAAATAGAATTGAGAGCTGAATTTTGTTTGTTGTTGCTACTAATGGAGGAAAATCTTCATTTCCACTAAATTGTTACCTAGAAAGCTATTATCTTTTTTTTTTTTTTTTTTTTTTTGAGACAGTCTCGCTGTGTTGCCCAGGCTGGAGTGCAGTGGTGTGATCTCGGCTCACTGCAACCTTTGCCTCCTGGGTTCATACAGTTCTCTCGCCTCAGCCTCCCAAGTAGCTGGGACTACAGGAGTGCGCCACCATGCCTGGCAAATTTTTGTATTTTTGTAGAGATGTGGTTTCACTATGTTAGCCAGGCTGGTCTTGAACTCTTGACCTTGTGATCTGCCTACCTCGGCTTCCCAAAGTGCTGGGATTACAGGTGTGAGCCACCGTACCCAGTCATACTTTACTTTTTTTAAATGCAAAAATAGTACATAAAAAATAGGGAATGTGTATGATTTAAAAGGTAAACTATAATGTTTGGAAGGGAATGCAGTGCAACATTTAAGTTTCCTTCCTATTTTAGACCTTAGTTTTCCAGGTCTTTTCCCTACAAGTAGTAGTTTTATATGTATTCCTCCATAGGTAACCTCAGCATGTGCAAATTTATATGTTTATGTAACCTTTTTGTAAACATGTACTGGACTTTGTTTTTGCTTTTTCTTTTTTTTTTGGAGACAGTCTTGCTCTTGTCGCCCAGGCTGGAGTGCAATGGCACAATCTCAGCTCACTGCAACCTTTGCCTCCCTGGTTCAAGGGATTCTCCTGCCTCAGCCTTCCAAGTAGCTGGGATTACAGGTACCCGCCACCACGCCCAGCTAATTTTTGCATTTTTAGTAATGACAGGGTTTCGCCATGTTGGCCAGGCTGGTCTCAAACTCCTGACCTCATGATCCACCTGCCTTGGCTTCTCAAAGTGCTGGGATTACAGGTGTGAGCCACTGTGCCCGCTTTTTTTTTTTTTTTTAATGTAATTTTGCATTTTTGGGGTGAGGGGGCAGGAGATGAAGTGTTATTCTGTTGCCAGACTGGTGTGCAATGGTGCGATCTTGGCTCACTGTAACCTCCACCTCCTGGGTTCAAGTGATTCTCTTGCCTCAGCCTCCCGAGTAGATGGGACTACAGGTGCGTGCCACCACACCCAGCTAAGTTTTGTATTTTTAGTAGAGACAAGGTTTTACCATGCTGGCCAGAATGGTCTCAATCTTTTGACCTTGTGATCTGCCTGCCTCGGCCTCCCAAAGTGCTGGGATTTCAGGCATGAGCCACCTCGCCCATCCTGTTTTTGCTTTTTATAACCTAGGGTTCCTTTCAGCAGTACATAAAGATCTATATCATTGTTTTTATGGTTGCATATTATTCTATTAGATATGTATACTATAATTTATCTAACATCCCTCACCTCCCTATGATGAACATTTAGGTTTAAGTTTCTTCCATACTTCTTATTAAGATAATTGTGGTCATGTATATATAGCTATGCAGTGTTTAACTGTATCTGTGGGACACATTCCTAGAAGTTACCTCTTTAATATTAGTAAATATATTTTATTGTTTTGCGAGTATAACAGGAATTTTTCCCTACTCCTTTAGAAAGAAGCCTAAGAAGAGAGAAAATGGGATTGGATGTAGAAGGTCAATGCGATTACTAAAAGCTGATCCTTCAGGAGTTTTATTACCAGCAACTCCAGTACCACCGGCATTAGTAGCAGATGAAACTGTAAGAAAATGTGCAAATACAGTATATTACTTAATAAAATACTGAAAAATTTGAAGTGTTGAAAGTAGACCAAAAGTTCATTAGATTATGTTTAATTTTATATTTCATTTTTGAATTTTTTTTTTTGAGACGGAATCTTGCTCTGTTGCCCGGGCTGGAGTACAGTAGCATGGAACCCCCTCCTCTCAGGTTCAAGTGATTCTCCTGCCTCAGCCTCCCGAGTATGTGGGATTACAGGTGCATGCCATTATACCTGGCTGATTTTTTATATGTTTGATAGAGACGGAGTTTCACTATGCTGACCACATTGGTCTTGTACTCCTGACCTCAATTTATCCACCTGCCTTGGCGTCCCAAAGTGCTGGTATTACAGGTGTGAGCCACTGCGCCTGACTTGTTACGGATTAATGAGTAAGATTTCAAAGTCATAAAGACTGGATTGGATTCTGTATTTCTGCAGGGCTTACCAGCTGTAGGATTGTGGGTGAGTTAATTAACCTTTCTGATCATTTCCCCATTTAAAAAATGTCAGCAATAATAGAACTCTCAGTAAATATGTACAATTTTATGTCAGTTAAAAAAAAAAAAAGAAACCTCCGCTAGGCGTGGTGGTTCATGCCTATAATCCCAGCACTTTGGGAGGCCGAGGTTGTCAGATCATGAGGTCAGGAGTTTGAGACCAGCCTGTCTGGTATGATGACACCTGTCTCTACTGAAAAATACAAAAATATTAGCTGGGTGTGGTGGCACACACCTGTAGTCCCAGCTACTTGGGTGGCTGAGGCAGGAGAATCAATTGAACCTGGGAAGTGGAGATTGCAATGAGCCAAGAACATGCCACTGCATTCCATCTTGGTTAACAGAGTAAGACCCTGTCTCAAAATAAAAAGAAACCTCTAAAGAGCTATTGTGAGCATAAATGAAATCATATCTGTAAAGTTTCTCACATTGTATTAAGGTCTTAGTAATCAATAAACTAGTTATTAATGTTAATTTTAATGAGTAGCATTTTATTTAGCAAACTTATTGTCTAAAATTTTTTTTTTATTCAAGAACACCTATTTTTTAATATTTTATATCTAAGCATTTAATTGTAAATAGGAAAGTGGCACTAATTAGGCTGGTGCTTTCGGAGCAAATTGCAAATCTAGGTGTTATGGGAAGCAGCATAGAAGAATAGCTTTCACATTTTTTTGAAGCCTCAGCCCACAATAAATATATTTATGGCCAGGTATAGTGGCTCATGCCTGTAATCCTAGCACTTTGGGAGGCTGAGGCAGGACAATCACTTGAGCCCAGGAGTTTGAGACCAGCCTAGCCAACATAAAGAGACCCTGTCCTTACAAAAAATACAAAAATTAGCTGGGTGTAGTGGCATGTGCCTATAGTCCCAGATCCTCAGGAGGCTGAGGTGAGAGCATCATGTTGTTTAGGATGGTCTCAAACTCCTGGCCTCAAGAGATTTGCCTACCTTGGCCTCTGAAAGTGCTGGGATTACAGGCATGAGCCACCACACCTGGCTGGTATTTCTATTTTATTCTCATTCACTGAAACAAATTGCTAGTTGCGACATATTAACATGATTTCTCACCCATTTATGTGTTACAAACTGTGTTTAAAAAAATACTATCCCCCCTCCCAAAAGAAAAAAATATTATCCCCTCCCACAAGGTAGGAGCTCCCTCCCAGATTTCCCCTCTGGAATCCCCTTCCACACTTTTCATGGAAGCCTTTCTCTACTCCTTTCCTTCTCTTCTTTCTACCTAAATAAAATCACCTTTCTGCAACAACAACAACAACAACAACAAAATACTAATGTGGTATACTCAGTATAATACTGAGTAATGAGTTAAGATAATCTGAATCAATTCTCAGCTTCTTTAGTTATTGGCTCTGTGGCTTTGGGCAAGTTAACTTCCCTAAGTTTGAATTCGGTGTCTTTAAAATGTGATACCTCATTCACTATGTTGTTGAGAGGATTTAATGAGATAATACATGTTATTATTACTTTATAGGGTACCTGACATTCATTTATGGAACAATTATTTTGAATGTCTATGATATGCCACCATTAATTGCTGATGTAGAAAGTGAAGTTGTAGAAAAACAGACAAATACCCTTGTCCTCCTGTGTTTACATTCTAGGGCAGGGAGACCAACAAAAAACTTTTTATTTTTTATAACAGCCTTTGTTACCTCCTGGGCCTTTAGAAATGACTTCTGAAAATCAAGATGACAACAATGAAGGATTTAAAGGATTTCTGCGGACATGGGCAGGAATGAGCAAGGTATCACTTGGGAAGGAAGGCTAATAGCCTTTAGAATCATCTGTTAAGGAAATTTATATATATATATATGTGTGTGTGTGTGTGTATATATATTAACTTAGTACTTGATCTCTCTCAATGTTTCAGCCAAGTAGTAAGAACACTGAGAAGGGGTTATCTAGCATTAAAAGGTAAGTTGAAATTCCTCGTGTTTCTTTTATATTTTTTTAGATGTTTGAGTTATAAAGACTATACATCATTACAGGGACTTTTGAAAGTGAGATGTTTTATATATTTCCTCTTAAGTTTGCCCTATGCAATACCACTAGGATATAAGCTTCATGAGGGCAAAAATTTTATCTCAATAACCAGAAAAGTGCCTGGCACGTAATTATATGTTCAATGTTGAATAAATGAGTGAATCAGTTTTTACTTCATGTTCTAATGTATATACAATTTTGTGTTATACTTCTTTTTTTTTAAAAGACAAGATCTCCTCTTGCTTAAGCTGCAGTGCAGTGGCACAGTCTTGGCTCACTGGAACCTCTGCTTCCTGGTCCCAAGTGATCCTTCCACCTCAGCCTCCCAAGTGGCTTGGATTACAGACATGCACCATCACACCTGACTAACTTTTACATTTGTAGAGATGAGATTTTGCTATGTTGCACAGGCTGGTCTTGAACACATGGGCTCAAATGAGCCATCTGCCTTGGACTCCCAAAGTGCTGGGATTATAGGTGTAAGCCACTGTGCCTGGCCCACATTAATGCTTTTTTCATTTGTGGTTGCATGTTACTAGTCTTTTTTTTTTTTTTTTTTTTGAGGAGTCTTGCACTGTCGCCCAGGCTGGAGTGCAATGGCACTGTCTCAGCTCGCTGCAACCTCTGCCTCCTGGGTTCATGTGATTCTCCTGCCTCCGCCTCCAGAGAAGCTGGGGTTATAGGCGCACACTACCGTACCCACCTAATTTTTTTGTATTTTTAGTAGAGACGGGGTTTTACTACGTTGGCCAGACTGGTTTCAAACTCTTGACCTTGTGATCTGCCTGCCTTGGGCTTCAAAAGTGCTGGGATTACAGGCATGAGCCACGGTGCCTGGCCTGCATGTTACTAGAGTCTTTTTTCTTTCATCTGAAAATTTTATATGAACTTACTCTTCCTCTAGCAATATGTGTTAGTATGTGTATTTAATTTCAGCCTACCAGTTTTTGGTGTTATTAAAATTATCAAGGGTAATTTAAAAAGTGAAACATAGTATTGCTTGATTTGATTTCCTTGGTTACCAGGAGAGTGAATAGTTTCCTGTATGTATTTACTGATTGTGGTTTTTCTTTTGAATCATCTTTTACTTATTTTGACTATTGAGATTGGTTTTACTTACAAAATTTAACTTTGTAATTTTCTTAGCTACAAAGCCAATTTAAATGGCATGGTCATTAGTGAAGATACTGTTTACAAAGTTACCACAGGCCCAATATTCTCTGTGGCTCTCCACCCATCAGAAACTAGAACTTTGGTAGCAGTTGGGGCCAAATTTGGGCAAGTTGGACTTTGTGATTTGGTAAGTTATTATTTTTTGAAGATATTATAGTTTGACTAAAGCAAATAGCCTGGAAGAGAATAAGCTAGAACCATGCGTTTATAAATGTTGCATGAGACTTATAGTTTTGGATTTTATGATGCTTTATGATTCCAAATTTTAGAAATCTGGAGGAATTTAAATTTGCCTTATAAAACTTTAATATTTTTAGCTTGAATATCATTAACCATATGGGCGTAAATTAACTGCCAGCAAACTTTATTACATTTTAGATGTATATGTGAAAAGATCACACGAAGTTCTTAGTTTTCTAGTTGTGTTTAAAATATTGTCTGCTATGGTCTGAATTTTTCCCCCCCAAATTCATATGTTGAAATACTAATCCCTGTGATATTAGGAGGCAGGACCTTTGGGAGGTGATAAGGTCATGAATGAGATTAGTGCCCTTAAAAAAGAAACCCAAGAGAGACCACTGCCCCTTATACCATATGAGGGCACAGCTAGAAGGCACCAACTATGAGCCAGAAAGTGGCCAGACGTTGAATGAGTTGGAATCTTTACCTTGGTCTTCCTAGTCACCAGGAGTATGAGAAAAATTGCTGCTGTTTATAAGCACTCAGTTTATGGTATGTTGTTTTAGCAGCCCAAATGGACTAAGACACAGTTTCTAAGCTGGATCAAAATATCTTCCCAGGGACCTGCTTTGGGATGATTCCAGTCATCTTTGATGAGCCAGAAATAGATGCTAAATTCCATACATTGTGCATATAATTCTGGAGGAAGTGCTGACTGTTGTTAATTGAGAAAAGTCAAATTAATGTTCTCTGAATTTATTTTTTTATTGGGGAAGAAAACCAAAGACATGAAAAATGCCATAAGGACAATTAATGAAGATGAAACAGTGGTGGCTTGAAGTTGGTTGGGGTTTATAAACAAAATTTGCAAGTCGGAAGACAGAGATAGAAACCAAGTTCTCTCTTATTTTGGGATCATAGATTCTCCCTTATTTTGATAAGATGTGAGTGGATTTAGCAAAGACAACTGAAGCAAAAAAGTGGGAAGAAGATCAGAATAGTATATTTTAGAAGCCAAGATAAGAGTTTCAAGGATGGGAGGTTAGCAGAGCCTTTTGCAGAGAAGTTAAAAGAATGGAGAAAAGACCATTGATTATGAAAATAGGGTACCATTAGTTGAAAGAATAGCCTCTCACGGGCTTTTGGAGATTAAGATTATGGGGTAATGGAAGAACTGGAAGCAGTGGTCTCTATCGAGACTGCTGTTTTGTTTTGTTTTTTTCTGAGACATGATCCCACTCTGTTGCCTAGGCTGGAGTGCAGTAGCATGATCATAGCTCACTGCAGCCTCAGACTCCCAGGCTCAAGTGATCTTCCACTTCAGCTTCCTGAGTAGCTGGGATTACAGTGATGTGCCACCATGCCTGGCTCATTTTTTAATTTTTTGTAGAGAAAGGGGTGTCACTGTGTTGCCTAGGCTGATATAGAACTCCTGAGCTCAAGCATTCCACCTGCTTCAGCCTCACAAAGTGCTGGGATTACAGGTGTGAGCCACTGCACCCATCTGAGAATACTTTTTTTTTCTTTTTTCTTTTTTTTTGAGATGGAGTTTCGTTCTTGTTACCCAGGCTGGAGTGCAATGGCGCGATCTTGGCTCACCGCAACCTCCGCCTCCTGGGTTCAGGCAATTCTCCTGCCTCAGCCTCCTGAGTAGCTGGGATTACAGGCACGCGCCACCGTGCCCAGCTAATTTTTTGTATTTTTGGTAGAGACAGGGTTTCACCATGTTGACCAGGATGGTCTCAATCTCTTGACCTTGTGATCTGCCCGCCTCGGCCTCCCAATTTTTTTTTCTTTTTTCTTTTTTTTGAGATGGAGTTTTGCTCTTGTTGCCCAGGCTGGAGTACAGTGGCTTGATTTTAGCTCACTGTAACCACCACTTCGTAGGTCCAAGCATTTCTCCTGCCTCAGCCTACTTAGTAGCTGGGATTACAGGCACTCACCACCACACCCAGCTAATTTTTGTATTTTTAGTAGAGACAGAATTTTACTGTATTGGCTGGGCTGGTCTGGTCTGACCTTGTGATCCACCTCCCTTGGCCTCTCAAAAGGCTTGGATTACAGGCATGAGCCACCATGCCAAGCCCTGAGACTACTTTTTGAAGAATTTTGAAAAGGAAAAATTGCAAATTAGCATGAAGATATTTTTTGGATGAGTTGATCTTTATAGAATTTCAGACATATGTAAAAATCCTTTTTTCTTTTTCTTTTTGTTTCTTTATTTTTAAGATAGAGTCTCACTTTGTTGCCCAGGCTGGAGTGCAGTGGTGTGATCTTGGCTCATTGCAACCTCCCCCTCCCTGGGTTCAAGCGATTCTCCTGCCTCAGCATCCCAAGTAGCTGGGATTAACAGGCATGTGCCAGCATGCTCGGCTTATTTTTTGTATTTTTAGTAGAGACGGGGCTTTACTGTGTTAGCCAGGATGGTCTCCATCTCCTGACCTTATGATCTGCCTACCTTGGCCTCTCAAAGTGCTGGGATTACAGGTGTGAGCCACCGTGGCTGGCCCAAAAATCCTTTTTCTCCTATCTTTCCTAGTGACTCCAGAAATCTGTATTACTAGGTCTCTATAGTCCAGTATCTCCATCCACCTAGTTTTCCAGGATACTTGGCAATCTCGTTAACAGACTTAGCAAGTCTAAAAGCAGTATCATCTTACCTATCCTGTGCTCAGAATTTCCCAATTTTTTTTTAAAGTAGCTTTACGAAGGTATAATTTATCATAAAATCCACCTACTATAAATGTAAAATTCAGTGTTTTCTTTTTTTCGTTTTGAGATGGGAGTCTTGCTCTGTTGCCCAGGCTGGAGTGCTATGGTACGATCCCAGCTCACTGCAACCTCTACCTCCTGGCCTCAGGCGATTCTTGTGCCTCTGCCTCCCGAGTAGCTGGGATTATAGGCACTTGCCGCCACGCCTGGCTAATTTTTGTACGTTTTGTAGAGATGAGGTTTCTTCATGTTGGCCAGGCTGATCTTGAACCCCTGACCTCAAATAATCCATTTGCCTTCTCCTCCCGTGCTGTGATTACAGGTGTGAGCCAGCATGCCCGGCCTCAATGGTTTTTAATAAGTTTACTGAGTTGTTTAACTTTCATAGTCTGGTTTTAGAGCATTTTCATCATTTCTTTCTTCCTTTTTTTTTTTTTTGTGGTCTTTTTTTGTTTTTTTTTTGAAAATGATTTAACCTTGGCATTTTCATCATTTCTGTAAGATCCCTCATGCCGGCTGGGTGCAGTGGCTCATGCCTGTGATTCCAGCGCTTTGGGAAGTTGAGGCAGGAGGATCGCTTTAAGCCCATTAGTTCCAGACCTGCCTAGGTGACATAGTGAGACTCCTGTCTCTAGAAAAAAAAAAAAAAAAAAGCTGGGTGTGGTGGTGTGTGCCTGTAGTCCCAACTACTCAGGAAGCTGAGCTGGGAAGATCATCTGAGCTCAAGGAGATTGAGGCTGCAGTGAGCCATGATTATGCCACTGCATTCCAGGTTAAATTGACAGTGAGACCCTGTCTGCAAAAAAAAAAAAATTACTTATTGCATTAAGAAAGAAGCAGAACTTAATGTAGTACACTTAAAAACTAGCTACCAAGGAGAGAAATCCTGTAGCAGAGCTAGGAGACAGCATAATTTAGCTTCTGCTCTGCCCTGTGCACAGAATCCATACTGCTAAATGGACCAAATTCTGAGAATTTTCTCCTATATTATTAAAAGTAGAAAGAAGCACATTATATTCTGATTTTCCTTCTTTTGAATGAGAAATAGGGAAATGGTTGCTGGGGGAAAATGAGGAAAAATAGAGGAAGTAGGGAAAGTGAATAGTAGAACTGATTATCTTCAAAGGAAGTTTTCGTGGCTCATGGGAATGGTAACAGTGGTATGAATCCTGGTAGAAAATAATGAACAAGGCCAAGCATGGTGGCTCACACCTGTAATCCCAGTCCTTTAGGAAGCTGAGGTGGGCAGATGATGAGGTCAAGAGATAGAGACTATCCAGCCCAACATGGTGAAACCTCGTCTCTACTAAAAATACAAAAAGTAGGTGGGCACCTGTACTCCAAGCTACTTGGGAGGCTGAGGCAGGACAATCACTTGAACCTGGGAGGCAGAGGTTGTAGTGACCCGAGATCCTGCCACTGCACTCCAGCCTGGGTGACAGAGTGAGACTCCATCTAAAAAAAAGAAAAATAAAGCAGTTAAAGATGATCCAACAAATGGAACAGAAAGTATATTCAGACAATTTTCCTGCAATTAAGGCAGAATTGAATTGGCAGTTGAATGTGTACACCATGTTCCAGGAATATGAGAAACTTACTAAATCTTTTTGTTTGTTTGTTTTGGAGACAGAATTGCGCTCCATCACCCAGGTTGGAGTGCAGTGGTGAGATCTCAGATCACTGCAACCTCCGCCTCCCGGGTTCAAGAGATTCTCCTGCCTCAGCCTCCTGAGTAGCTCCAACTACAGGTGCGCAGCACCACACCCGGCTAATTTTTGTATTTTTAATAGAGATGGGGTCTCACCATACTGGCCAGGCTGGTCTCAAACTCCTGACCTCATGATCTACCCACCTCGGCCTCCCAAAGTGCTTGGATTACAGGTGTGAGCCACCACACTCTGCCTTTTTTTTTTTTTGATGCAGAGTCTCACTCTGTCCCCCAGGCTGGAGTGCAGTAGCGTAATTCCGCTCACTGCAACCTCTGCCTCCCAAGTGCAAGCGATTCTCCTGTCTCAACATAGTGAAACCCCATCTCCACTAAAAATACAAAAATGAGCTAAGTGTGGTGGTGAGCGCCTGTAATCTCAGCTACTCAGGAGTCCTAGGCAGGAGAATCACTTGAACCCAGGAGGCAGAGGTTACAGTGAGCCAAGATCATGTCACTGCACTCCAGCCTGGGCTACAGAGTGAGACTCCATCTCAAAAAAAAATAAAAAGAGACTGTTGAAGGTAGGGTGAGAATAATATTCTCAAATCAATAATCAATAGAAATTGTCTAAAATTAACAGTTTAAAAAATAAAAAGCCACTGGGCATGGTGGCTCATACCTGTAATCCCAGCACTTTAGGAGGCTGAGGTGGGTGGATCATGAGGTCAGGTATTCAAGACCAGCCTGACCAACATGATGAAACCCTGTCTCTACTAAAACTACAAAAATTCGCTGGGCGTGGTGGCCTGCACCTGTAATCCCAGCTTCTAGGTTGGCTGAGGCAGGAGAATTGCTTGAACCTGGGAGGGAAAGGTTGCAGTGAGCTGAGGCGACATTGTACTCCATCCTGGGTGACAAAGCAAGACTCTATCTCAAAAAAATAAATAAATAAAAAGCTTAATGACTACAGTTGCTTCTTCTTTTTTTTTTTTTTTTTTTTTGAGACGGAGTTTTGCTGTTTTTACCCAGACTGGAGTGCAATGGCACGATCTCGGCTCACCGCAACCTCCGCCTTCTAGGTTCAAGCAATTCTCCTGCCTCAGCCTCCCGAGTAGCTGGGACTACAGGTGCGCACCACCATGCCCAGCTAATTTTTGTATTTTTAGTAGAGATGGGGTTTCACCTCGTTGACCAGGATGGTCTCAATCCCTTGACCTCGTGATCCACCCGCCTCGGCCTCCCAAAGTGCTGGGATTATAGGCGTGAGCCACTGCGCCTGGCCTGCTTCTTGTTTTATACTTTTGTCATTGTAGGAGATAATGTCTCTGTAAATACTTGAAGTTTAAAAATTCCTTAACTTCATGTTCTTAAATTATTTTGACATCTTTGTATGTACCTATACAGATAGAATGACAGAGAAGAAATTTTACAAAAGGACCATGTGATATATGCCATTTTAAATTGCATTGAATTTGACTATAAAGATGTCTGTAATAATACTCAGTATTTTCATGATAATTTTGGCTAATTTTAGATTTGGAAAGTTTTTTTTTTTTTCTGAGACGGAGTTTTGCTCTTGTTGCCCAGGCTGGAGTGCAGTAGTGTGATCTTGGATCAATGCAGCCTCCTCCTCCTGGGTTTAAGCAATTCTGCCTCAGCCTTTCAAGTAGCCAATATTACAGGCATGTGCCACCATGCCCGGCTAAGTTTTGTATTTTTAGTAGAGGCAGGGTTTCACCATGTTGGTCAGGCTGGTCTCAAACTGCAGACCTCAGGTGATGCCCCCGCCTCGGCCTCGCAAAGTGCTGGGATTACAGGTGTGAGCCATTACACTGGTCCTGGAGTGATTTTTTTTTTCTTGAGACAGAGTCTCACTCTGTCACTCAGGCTGGAGTGCAGTGGCAATATCTTGGCTCACTGCATGCCTCCTCCACTTCTCCGGTTCAAGCAGTTCTCTGCTTTAGCCTCCCTAGTAGCTGGGATTACAGTCACCCACCACCACCTGCAGCTAATGTTTGTATTTTTAGGAGAGATGAGGTTTCACCATCTTGGCCAAGCTGGTCTTGAACTCCTGACCTTGTGATCCACCTGCCATGGCCTACCAAAGTGCTGGGAATACAGGTGTGAGCCACTCTACCCGTGGTCTGGAGTGATTTTTTTTTAAAACATCCATCTTTGTACATTTCTGCATTGTTTTTGAGTTCTTTATAACAAGAGAAAGGTTTGCTTTTCTAGAAAATAAATGCAGGGCCGGGTGCGGTGGCTCAAGCCTGTAATCCCAGCACTTTGGGAGGCCGAGGCGGGTGGATCATGAGGTCAAGAGATCGAGGCCATCCTGGTCAACATGGTGAAACCCTGTCTCTACTAAAAATACAAAAAATTAGCTGGGCATGGTGGTGTGCGCCTGTAATCCCAGCTACTCAGGAGGCTGAGGCAGGAGAATTGCCTGAACCCAGGAGGCGGAGGTTGCGGTGAGATCGTGCCATTGCACTCCAGCCTGGGTAACAAGAGCGAAACTCTGTCTCAAAAAAAAAAAAAGGAAATAAATGCTATAAACAAATATGCCAGTAATTTCCAACTCTGGTAACAGGAAGAGTATGTATGATGATAATTTTTCTTTTTTCCCCCTTATAAAAATATTTCATTTAAAATTAAAAGAAAGTGCTTTACCATTTCAGAGTAGACTAAGCCGGATTTGGAGGTGATGCTTTGTCTGGTTCATAATATGCCACACGGCATACCAACATAACTTACTTTGATCTGAAAAGTGACTTCTCAGGAGTTGGCAATCCATTGTGGAAAGGGTAGTCCTTAGAAGTAGGTATATTAATATGGAAATTCAAATACATATATTTTAATGGTGTATTTAGAGGACAAAATTCGTTTAAAAGTATCATTTTTGTGCCAGGACCAAATACCTTGTGAAAATTATGCTGAGAATGAGTAATTTAATATTATACAGAAGCCTGCTGCAGAAGCAAAGTGATAAGATACTGATACTGTTTTGGTTAGCAATTATACCATATGTGAAATAAAGAGTAGATTTCTCATTTTCTGAGGATTTTATGAACTCACAGTGATATATAAGGTAGTACATTAGTTGTAGAAAGCTGGTCACTTAAAATTAATGTGACTTGGTATTGTTGGATTGATAACTACATAAAGTTTCTAGTTCTGACTTTCTGAAGGGGAGAGTGGTTACAATTATAGACTAAGAAAAGCCTGAATATAATCCAGTGTAAATTCTTTAATGACATATATTAGCATAGCAAAAATCACTACTTTTCACTAGTGTTTTCTCTCCCCTCACTCCCAACTCTTTTCCAGACCCAGCAACCTAAAGAAGATGGAGTTTATGTTTTTCATCCCCATAGTCAGCCAGTTAGCTGTCTTTACTTTTCACCAGCCAATCCGGCCCACATACTGTCGCTAAGCTATGATGGCACGTTACGCTGTGGGGATTTTTCCAGGGCTGTTTTTGAAGAGGTAAATGTTAATGTGTTTACATGCTGACCTCAGATGATATTCTGGATTATTTATGAAATGTCCCATGAATTATGTCAATCATATTGGGAGAAGTGGTATAGCGGAAAGACTTTGAGAAATACACTAAGTTCAAATCCCAGATCATCTATTACTAGTTGTATGACCTTAACAAGTTGCTTAACCTCTTTGTGCCTCACTTTCCTTAGTTGTGAAATGGGATATAACAGTACTGATCTTATAGGGTTGTCATGAGAATTTAATGAGTTTATGCAGATAAAATACTTAGAACAGAGCCTAGCACATAGTATGTGTTTGCGCTTGTTAATTTTTTTTCCCCGGAGCTTTTAAATAAAGGAACTTACTCTTCTGTTTTTAGGCATAAGACTTATATTTGGCTGGGTGTGGTGGCTCATGCTTGTAATCCCAGTACTTTGGGAAGCCAAGGTGGGAGGCTCACTGAAGGCCAGGAGTTCCAGATCAGCTTGGGGAACATGGCGAGACCTTGTCTCTACCAAAAATAAAAGATATTAGCTGGGTGTGGTGGTATGTGCCTGTAGTCTCAGCTACTCAGGAGGCGGAGATGAGAGGATCAGTTTTGCCAAGGAGACTGAGGCTGCAGTAAAGCCGTGATCACTTCATTGCACTTAAGCCTGGGCAACAGAGTGAGATCCTCTCTCAAAATAAAATATCTTCTACTTAATGTTTAAAACAAACATACCGTTTGAGATGAACTTTCAGATTTGCTTAACTGAGATTGCCTCAATAAGAGAATTATTATAAGTTGAACTTTGTTTTTTATTTTTTTGAGACAGAATTTCACTCTTGTCACCCAGGCTGGAGTGCAGTGGTACAATCTCAGCTCACTGAAACCTCTGCTTGGCTTACTGCAACCTCCCCTCGGCTCACTGCAACCTCTGCCTCCTAGGTTCAAGTGATTCTCCTGCCTCAGCCTCCTGAATAGGTGGGATTACAAGCGCCCACCACCACGCCTGCCTAATTTTTGTATTTTGTGTGTGTGTGTGTGTGTGTGTGTGTGTGTGTGGAGATGGAGTCTTGCTCTGTTGCCCAGGCTGGAGTGCAGTGCCTTTATCTTGATTCACTGCAACCTCCACCTCCTGGGTTCAAGTAATTCTGCCTCAGTTTCCCAAGTAGCTGGGACTGTAGACTCATGCCACCATGCCTGGGTAATTTCTTTTGTATTTTAGTAGAGATGGGGTTTCACTGTGTTGGCCAGGCTGGTCTCAAACTCCTGGCCTCAGGTGACCTGCACACATTGGCCTCCCAAAGTGCTGGGATTACAAGTGTGAGCCACCACGCTCGGCCATAAGTTGAACTTAAAAAATATATAGATTTTAATATTTGTAAAACTTAGGATGAAAATTTAAATGTAGATCTTTATCCTTTATCTTATTTTGAATGGGATTTAAAAAATTTTTAGAGATTGTCAGTTTAAGAGCAATTTGTATGTGATACACAATGCAGAAAACCATATACTCATTACTGAAGTTACTTTGAAGTTACTAATTGATGATCAAGTTTATGCCTTACTTTTTTTTATATAGGCCAGTGCTCAAAATTAACACATTCTGATATTTTTGCAATTATTCTAAATATGTACAGATGGTTCATAATTATTACCATTACTGTTTTGGAGACTGAGTCTCACTGTTGCCCAGACTGGAGTGCAATGGTGTGATCTCCGCTTACTGCAACCTTCACTTCTTGGGTTCAAGCGATTCTCCTGCCTCAGCCTCCCGAGTAGCTGGGATTATAGGGATTACAGGTGCCCGCCATCATGCCTGTAATCCCAGCATTTTGGGAGGCCGAGGAGGGAAACCCCATCTTTACTAACAATACAAAAATTCGCTTGGCGTGGTAGTGTGCATCTGTTGTCCCAGCTACTCGGGAGTCTGAGGCATGAGAATTGCTTGAACCTGGGAAGTGGAGGCTGCAGTAAGCCGTGATTGTGTCACTGCAGTCCAGTCTGGGTGACAGAGGGAGACACTCAAAAAAGAGAAATATGTTACATACGATACAATTTACCATTTTAGGTGTACAGTTCTGTCAGTTTTGGTGAATTGCGTACACCTATGTAACCATCATAATCAATATATGGAGCCAGGAGCCTTGGCTCACACCTGTAATCCCAGCACTTTGGGAGGCTGAGGCAGGTGGATCACTTGAGATGAGGAGTTTGAGACCAACGTGGCAAAACCCCATCTCTCCTAAAAAAAAAAAAAAAAAAAAAAATACAAAAATTAGCCAGGCATGGGGGCTCATGCCTGTAATCCTAGCTATCCGGAGGCTAGGGCAGGGAGAATCGCTTGAACCCAGGAGGTGGAGGTTGCAGTGAGCCAAGATTGCATCACTGCACTCCAGCCTGAGTGACGGAGTGAGACTCTATCTCAAAAAAAATACGTGTGTGTGTGTGTGTGTGTATGTGTGTGTGTATATAAAATTTCCATCTCCTCCAAAATTGCATTATGATCTTTTGTAGTCATTCTCCTTCCACTGCCTGCAATCCCTGGCAACCACTAATGTGATTACTGTCCCTATTAATTTTGTCTTTTCCTGAATGTCAAGCAATTGGAATTATATGTAGCCTTTTTTTTTCTGGCTTCTTTTACCTAGTGTAACACTTTGAAGATTAATTCATGCTGTTGCATATATTTGTAATTTGTTCCTGATTCTACTGACTGAACAGTTACCTTATGTTAGGCGCTACCTTGAGTGTGTTTATATACATCAAGTTTATAACATCTTAGAAAATGGGTAATGTGTATTTAACAGGTGAAAAAATTGAGGCAAAGAGAGGTTTATGAGGTTGCTCAAGGACATAGATGGCAGAACAAGAATTTACACTAGGGTTTGTCTGACTCCAAAGCCCCTGCTCTTAACAATGTAAATATACTGCGTATGTCAGGTTTTATTTGTATATATTGATCTTTTTGGTGGGCTTGGGGGTTGTGATGCCTCTAGTATATTAATTTGTTATTCTTAGTTGATAATACTTGTTATTAGAACTAAAAATTAGCAATTCGTGATTCAGCAATAAGAATTGTGGTCATCCTCTCTTAGATGATAGAAAGATTTATTTTTTTGTTCTTTATATATATGAATCCTAAACCCAAAGTGATTGCATTGTGGATTACATGTGATTAAAAACTTAATAACATGCTCATGGTAAAATATTTACAGGAAATCAGATATGAAAGTAAATCTGCCTGTCCTTCATTCCCATTATTCACAAGTAATCATTGTTTTATATCTTGAATATGCTTTCAGAAAGTGCACTTATGCTTACAAGCATATAGTTATACGTTTTTTGTTTTTTGTTTGAGACAGAGTCTCCCTCTTTCACCAGGAGCCAGGCTGGAGTGCAGTGGCACAATCTTGGCTCACTGCAACCTCCGCCTCCTAGCTTCAAGCAATTCTCCTGCCTCAGTCTCCTGAGTAGCTGGGACTACAGGCGTATGCCGCCACATCGAGATAATTTTTGTATTTTAGTTAGAGACGGGGTTTCACTGTGTTGGCCAGGATGGTCTTGGTCTCTTGACCTCATGATCCACCTGCCTTGGCCTCCCAAAGTGGTGAGATTACAGGCGTGAGCCACCGCACACGGCCTAGTTATACATTTTTTTCTCCTCTTCTTTGTACTAATGGATTCATACTAATATATGTAGCCTTTTGCAACTCTTTTCACTTAGTAGTATATTTTGGATAGTTAATAATATAAAACTACCTTATTCTTTTTAGCATTGCATGGTATTTCAAAGCAGAGATGGACCATCATTTATTTAACCAGACCTCTCTTGGTGGATATTTAAATTGCTTCTTCTTATAAGCAGTCTTGCAGCAGGCATTGTTATAGATCTTAGTAAAATTACTGAGTCAAAAAGTATAAGCATTAAACATTTTGATAGATGTAGCCTGACTAACTGTCAAAAAATGTATATATTTACTCTTCTGCTAAGATTAGGTGAGCATTCAGCTGTGCATCTTGGACTTGGTTGGCAAAGTTACCTTGCATATTGGGATTAATATTAATTTCTGTTGGGTAGAATTCTGATTCAGTTATTTTCCTGTTAAGTTTGAAGGGTAGATCTGGAACTGAGGTTTATTGGGTTTGAGAAATTTGGGATGTAGCCCTGACATGGGTAGATGGGCCATTTAATTATAGGCAAGTCTCACAGCTGATCAGTGCCTTTCCTTCTTTCTTTTTTTTTTTAATTTTCAGGTAGATGGAATAAGTTCTAATGTTCAGTAGCAGACGTAGGGTAACTATAGTTAAAAACAGTGTATTGTATCTTTTAAAATAGCCAGAAGAGAGGACTTGAAATGATTTGAAATGATATAAACACATAGAAATGACAAATATTCAAAGTGTTGGATATCCTAAATATCCTGATTGTGTTTCCATTGTGTCCTGTGCATATGATGGGAATGATGGGAAAATAAGTGAGGTTATTTGAGTAAAGTGTTTTATAACCCTTTACCAAAGAATTTATGCTCTGGTTTTCTTTACAAGAGGAATGTGATACAAGCTGATTGGTACTTATATTTTTAGGTGTATAGAAATGAAAGAAGTAGCTTTTCCTCCTTCGACTTCTTGGCAGAAGATGCCTCCACTTTAATAGTAGGACACTGGGATGGAAAGATGTCACTGGTGGATAGACGGACACCTGGAACTTCTTATGAGAAACTTATCAGTTCTTCTATGGGAAAAATAAGAACTGTTCATGTCCACCCAGTGCATAGACAGTATTTTATCACTGCTGGATTGAGGTATGGTCTTTATAAGGCTTTATGACTTAGACCTTTTAATGTCACAATTACCTGGTTTAGTTTGGTTGTCAAAGATACCTGACTTTGTAATACCCAAAGGCCAAGTACTTTCCCTTTCTGTACTGATTGAAACGTTTTTGAGTGATTTTTTTTATTTTTTGGAAAAGGAGAAATTCTTTTAGATTTAATAAATAGGTGAAAATGCTGAAATAAATTTTTGTTTTCCTTGGCATTACATGCATTTACTTTTAATCGTATGAGAAGAACATTGAAATTTTAAGGGGAAGAAAAGTTGTATGTGACCTATTTGGTCTGTGTTAACTTTTTTCTTCGAAGGATTGAAAAATCAGTTAGAAACTTGATGGCTGGGCGTGGTGGCTCATGCCTGTAATCTCAGCACTTTGGGAGGCTGAGGCAAGCAGATCCCTTGAGGTCAGGAGTTCAAGACCAGCCTGGCCACTATGGTGAGATACTATCCCTACTAAAATACAAGAATTAGCCAGGTGTGGTGGCACACACCTATAATCCCAGCCACTGAGGAGGCTGAGACAGCAGAATCACTTGAACAAGAGAGGCGAAAGTTGCAGTGAGCCAAGATCGCACCACTGTACTCCAGTCTGGATGACAGAGCGAGACTTTGTCTCAAAAAACCAAAATAAAGCAAAACAAAACTTGCCTTTCTGTGCACGCTGGTTACCTGTATCTACTATAGTTTTGGGATGTGTCTAATATTTTACTTGTTATCTATACCACTTTTGGGAAAATTACAGATTATTAGAGGTTTCTGTCTTAAATGTTTTTCAGTATAGCAAATATGTGAGTGTCTAATGTATCTTTAGTCCTGTTGTAGAATCTCGTTACATCTGCTATGGCAACACTGATCATTGTTTCTGCCATTACAGGGATATTCATATTTATGATGCAAGGCACCTGAATTCCAGGGGAAGTCAGCCTTTGATTTCTTTGACTGAACATACAAAGAGCATTGCTTCTGCCTATTTTTCACCTCTTACTGGTAACAGAGTGGTGACTACATGTGCTGATTGTAATCTGAGGTAAATTGGGAAGGCAGAAATACATTTTTAAGGAATCTGAGGAGTCTGTAACTACTGTGTTAGTCAAAAGCTTTGTTTACTGCTGTTCCTATTAAACTGCTCGTGTTACTGTTTTGTAGTCATATCTCGGTTCCCAAAGACCAGTGACCTGTATTTAATGGCTTTTCAGCAGTTTTTGAAATTTCCTTGAGACTGGTAAAGGTCCATATCTACCCTGGGGGGTTTATGGTCAGGTTTCCCTTTTAGCACTGAAGAATCCCAGAAACCAGGCTGCATAGCATTCTGAAAAGGAGATAATTTTAGCATACTTTGGGGTCAGTGGGATTTATTCCACAAGTGAAGTGCTGAATGGAAATTGCAGAGTCCCCGACATTGGGCAGACTGAAAATAGCAAAAACTGGGATGCTATACAAACTGTTGGTTGGATATGGTTTTATATTTCTAGGGTTTTAGCTTTAGTACTTTTTTTTTTTCTTTTTGAGACAGAATCTCATTCCTTTGCCAGGTGCCAGGCTGGAGTGCAGTGGCGCGATCTTGGCTCACTGCAACCTCCGCCTCCCGGGTTCAAGCAATTCTCCTGACTCTGCCTCCCGAGTAGCTGGGACTATAGGCGTGCGCCACCATGCCCAGCTAATGTTTTGTATTTTTAGTAGAGATGGGGTTTCACCATGTTGGTCAGGATGGTCTCAATCTCTTGACCTCGTGATCGGCCTGTCTAGGCCTCCCAAAATGCTGGGATTACAGGCGTGAGCCACCGCGCCCGGCCAGCTTTAGTATCTTTCTATAGCTACTGCCTAAAAATGGACTCAAAGTGTAATATAAACCAGTTGATCAGAAAACAGTGTCAGTGAAGGTATCGGGAACAAAGGAAAATTATTTTGTTCTCTTTTAGAATCCCTGATTTTGCTTAAAATTGCAAGCACTTCTCAGTTTATGAGCGTTTTTACCTTAAGTGATTTTGGAATTCATATATTACTCAGTTGAATGTATACTGTGCACCAGGCTCCAGAATGGCACCCAATTTCTGTTTAAACCCATGTATTGGGAAGAGCATGGTCTGCAGTGTGTGAGAGATGTCCAGTTAGTTTCTAGCAAAGTCTGTATTACCAGATGGTGCAGAAAGTGAGTCACCAGGAATGGTAGGCCAGCGTCTCCTTTCCACTCATGCAGTTTTCTTTGTCTCAAGGGCTACCTGTTCTGTTCCTGTTCATTTACACTGCAGTTTACTCTTGTTACATTAACTGTTAGTGGTTTGACTTTCTCCTAATCTATTTAGGCCATAAGCTTTAGTGCCTAGAAACCACATAGAAAAGCTAGGCACAAGGAGAAGAGAAGAAGTTGGAGATGCTTTTAGTTTTCTTTTTTCTTTTTTTTTTTTAATACAGGGTTTCACCATGTTGGCCAGGATGGTCTCTATTTCTTGATCTTGTGATCCGCCCGCCTCAGCCTCCCAAAGTGCTGCTGGGATTACAAGCGTGAGCCGCTGCGCCCAGTGCTTTTGGTTTTCTTTTGCTGAGGTGCTCAGTGGAGGCTTTTAGACTCCTCTACAACTGTTGTATAAAAACTGCTCTATTTGGCCAGGTGCAGTGACTCATGCCTATAATCCCAGCATTTCTGAGGTGGATCAGTTGAGCCGAGGAGTTCGAGACCAGCCTGGGCAACATAGGGAGACCTTGTCTCTACAGAAAAAAATTAGCCAGTTGTGGTAGTGTGCGCTTATAGTCCCAACTACCTGGGAGGCTGAGGTGGGAGGCTCACTTGAGCCTGGCAGGTTGAGGCTTCAGTGAGCTGTGACAGCGCCATTGCACTTCAGCCTGGGCATCACAATGAGATGCTGTCTCTTGAAAAACCAAAATACAACTCCTCTCCTTGGTTACTGGCTGGTCTTAGTGTGGAAATTACGCTATCAGGCCTTCAACTGGTAAGTCGCAGGGAAACTGCTGTTGATACATGGATGTACTTTTAGGTAATTTGTACATTTTCAGACCACATCCTTTATGTCCCATATTATTGTGAATTGTGAATATAGTTTGACAGTTCACTTTAGAATGTACATTTTAAGTTTGGAGTAATAGTGTTTAAATAAATTATTGCTATTTATCATTTATCATTCATTTTTTTTTTTTCAGACAGGATCTTTTTGTTGCCCAGACAGGCGTGCAGTGGCATAATCATGGCTCACTGCAATCCTGACCTGCTGGGCTCCAGCAATCCTACTGCCTCAGCTTCCCAAGTAGCTGGGACTACAGGCATTTGCCTAGCTATATATATACTTTTATTTTTTATGGAGATGGGGTCTCACTATATTGCTCAGTCTGGTCTCAAACTCCTGGCCTCAAGTGATCCTCCCACCTTGGCCTCAAAATGCTGAGATTACAGTTGTGAGCCACCACACCCAGCCAAATGATTTCTACACTAAACTATAAGCACTGACTTACTTTATAATACATCTTTAACTTTTGTTTAGTATCTCGGCCAAGACTTGTTAGAGGCTGATCCTACTATTTTTTTTTTCTTTTTTTTAAAGACAGGTTGTGCTCATAGCTTGGTGTAACCTCAAATTCCTGGGCTCAAGCGATCTACTTGCCTCAGCCTCCTGAGTAGCTCGGACTACAGGCATGTGCCCCACGCCCAGCTAATTTTTAATTTTTTTGTACAGATGGGTCTCACTGTGTTGCCTAGGCTGGTCTCAAACTCCTGGACTCAGGTGATCCTCCTGTGGATTATAGGTATAAGCCTCTAAACCTGGCCTAATCCTGCATATTTTTAAATGACAGTTACATATTTCATACCATGAACTAATGAGAAGCTTGTTAAATACACTGATATATGTTTTGTAAAGTTTTTAAGAAAGAAAAGAATGTCTTACTCTCTTCTTTATTTTGCAGAATTTTTGACAGCAGCTGTATATCTCGTAACATTCCTCTCCTCACCACCATCAGGTAGGCTTCTATATGCCAAAAAATGGAGACTGTGGATTACTGTGAACTGTTTGTTGCAGTGCATGCATTAGACATCTGATTGTCAAAGAGTTATAATAGTCCTGATTTTTGCCTACAAACATGCATTGTGTAAGTGTCCCAGTTTGCTAGTTCCTATCCAGAAGGATTCTTACTTCCAGGTTCCCTGTGTCTGTAGAGCCTCAGTCTCTTTTAGTCAGTAGCTGTTCTCTTCTGGTGGGAGATTATTTTTAGTTAAGGTTAATGACTTTATTCTGACCTGAATTACTCATGCTATCTTATTTAAGAAGACTGTAGCTACTCTTTTGCTGATGAGGCTGTCTGAAGTTCTGTTTATTTGTGTCTGTTTATTCTAAACATAGAGGGCTTCCCCATCTTCTCACTTCATTTCTTTGATTATACTCTAGTGTTAACTACTTTGAATTTGTGTATTTTACATCAAACTTTACTCAGATATCCCTTCTTCTAGATATCCCTCTTTGTCAGTATTTACGAAGTTGGAAATAGAGTATGTGATATATGTTGATTGTTTCATGAGTTTTATACTGTATAGAGGCTATATTTAAGTATGTTCATTTTCTTTTTCAGAGGTGTTTCCTTCTTTTCCTTTTTCAAACTTTTTGTTCCATTTCATCAGTTTCTTTTTTTTTCTTCAGGTCCACAATTTTTTATTTTTTTAAAGACAGAGTCTCATTTTGTAGCCCAAGCCTGGAGCACAGTGGCATGATCTCAGCTCACTGCAACCTCCGCCTCCTGAGTTCAAGTGATTCTCGTGCCTCAGCCTCTGGGATTACAGGTGCATGCCACCCCACCTGGCTAATTTTTGTATTTTTAGTAGAGATGAGTTTTCTCCATGTTGGTCAGGCTGATCTCGAACTTCTGATCTCAAGTGATCCACCCACCTTGGCCTCTCAAAGTGCTGGGATTACAGGTGTGAGACACTGTGGCCAGCTTATCTTATTTATTTATATATTTATTTTGAGACAGAGTCTCGCTCTGTCGCCCAGGCTGGAGTGCACTGGCGTGATCTGTGCTCACTGCAGCCTCCACCTCCCAGGTTCAAGCGATTCTCCTGCCTCAGATCCTGAGTAGCTGGGATTACAGGCACACGCCACTATGCCCAGCTAATTTTTGTATTTTTTTTAGTAGAGATGGGGTTTCACCATGTTGGCCAGGCTGGTTTTGAACTCCTGGCTTCAAGTGATCCACCCACCTTGCCCTCCCAAATTGCTGGGATTACAGGCATGAGCCAATGCACCCAGTCTTATTTTTTAATTGACTAATAAAATTGTATATATTTATCATGTATAACATGTTGTTTTGAAATATATACACTGTGGAATGACTAAATCAAGCTAGTTAACATATGTATTACCTAATGTGCTTACCATTTTTTTGTGGTGAGAACACTTAAAATCTGTCAGCAATCTTCAATAATAATATAGTACCTTGTTATTAACTATAGTCATCCTGATGTACAATAGATCTTGAATGTATTCCTCCTATTAACTGAAATTTCATATTCTTTGACTGACATCTCCCCAACCCTTCCCCTCTCTGCCAACCAGTGTTAACCTCTCTCTCTTTTTTTTTAAATTAGATGGGGTTTCACCATGTTGGTCAGAATGGCCTCGATCTCCTGACCTTGTGATCCGCCCGCCTCGGCCTCCTAAAGTGCTGGGATTACAGGCGTGAGCCACGGCGCCCAGCCCCACTCTCTCTCTTTTTTTTTTTTTAAAATAAGGGATAGGGTCTTGCTCTGTTGTTCAGTATGGAGTACTGTGGCATGATCATGGCTCACTACAGCTTCAGTCTTCTGGACTCAAGCAGCCTTCCTGCCTTAGCCTCCCAAGTAGCTGGGACTACAGGCACACCACCATGCCCCACTAATTTTAAAAATGTTTTTGTAGAGATGGGATCTTGCTGTTGCCCAGGCTGTCTGGAACTCCTTGCCTCAACTGATCCTCCCACGTGGGCCTCCTGAAGTGTTGACATTACAGGCATGAGCCATCATGTCTGGCCTTACAACTTAGTTATTTTTTAGACTAGTCAAGTGCAGTAGTGAGAAGGTGGGAAAGAGTAGAACAAAGAGTTTGATCTGTAACTGACTGTGAACAGTCAATTGAGATAACTCACTACCTTTAGACCAGCCTCAGCTTTTAAAAATTCCGTGAGTGAGGTCATATGGTATTTGTCTTTCTGTGCCTGGTTGATTTTATTTAACAGAATGTCTCCAGGTTCATCCGTGACAGGATTTTCTTTTTTTAAGTGGGATAATATTCCAATATGTGTGTATACTTCATTTTCTTTATTCATTTATCCATTGATTGATTGATTGCATATCTTAGCTGTGACAGTGAATGTGGGAGTATAGATATTTCATAGAGAGTTCATTTCCTTTGGATATATTCCCAGTAGTGGGATTGCTGGATCATATGGTAGTTCTATTTTTAATTTTTTGAGGAGCCTCCATACTGTTTTCCATTATGGCTGCACCAATTTCCACCAACAATGTACAAGGGTTCCTTCTTGTCCATATCTTTACCAATACTTACTATCTTTTGTTGTTTTGATAGTGGCCATTCTACTAGATGTGAGATGGTATCTCATTGTGGTTTTAACTTGCATTTCACTGATGATTAGTAATGTTGAATATATTTTCATATAATTGATTGGGCATTTGTATGTTTGCTTTTGAGAAGTGTGTATTCAGATCCTTTGCCCATTTTTAAATTGGGTTATTTGTTTCCTTAGTTGAGTTCCTTGTATATTTCAGATGTATGATTTGCAAATATTTTCTCCCATTCCTTAGGTTGTCTCTTTACTTTGATGATGGTATCCTTGGCTGTGCAGAAGCTTTTTAGCTTGGTGTAATCTCATTTGTCTATTTCTGCCTTTGTTGCCCTTCCTTTGGGATTCACATACAAAAAAAAACATCATTGCCTAGGCCAGTGACAGGGAGATTTCTCCCATGTTTTTTTCTAGTAGTTTTAGTTTCAGGCCTTACATTTGTCTTTTTAAAAAATTTATTTTTGTATATGGTGTGAGATATAGTCTAATTTTACTCTTCTGCATGTGGATGCCTAGTTTTCCCAACAACATTTATTGAAGAGACTGTCCTTTCCCTATTTTGTGTTCTTGGCACCTTTATTGAAAATCAATTGATCCTAAGTGTTTGGATTTATCTCTGGACTCTCTGTTCTATTGTTCTTTGTCTCTGTATGCCAGCACGATATGGTTTTGGTTAGTATAGCTTTGCAGTCAGGTAGTGTGATGCCTCTAGCTTTGTTCTTTTTGCTCAAAATTGCTTTGGTTTATTGGGGGATGTTTGTGGTTATATACAAATGTTGAAATTGTTTCTTCTATTTCTGAAAAATGTCCTTGGAATTTTGATAGAGATTGCATTGAGTCTGTAAATCACTTTAGGTAATATGGACATTTTAAACAATATTATGCCTGTTTATGAACATTGTATATCTTTGTATTTGTTTGTGTCTTTTTCAGTTACTTTCACCAGTGTTTTATAGTTTTCAGTGTATAGATCTTTTATGTCCTTTGTTAAATGTATTCCCCTAAGTATTTAAATTTTTTGTAGCTATTGTAAATGAGGTTGATTTCTTCAGTTTTTCAGTTTGTTCATTATTAGTATATAGAAATGCTACTGTTTTCTAGGCCAGGCATGGTGGATTATGCCTGTAATCCCAGCAATTTGGGAGGCCAAAGTGGGTGGATCACTTGAAGTCGGGAGTTTGAGACCAGTCTGGCCAACATGGTAAAACCCTATCTCCACTAAAAATAAGAAAATTGGCCAGGCATTGTGGTGCATACCTATAATCCCAGCTACATGGGAGGCTGAAACACAGAATCTTTTGAACCTGGGAGGTGGAGGTTGTCCAGACTGGGCGACAGAATGAGACTCCATCTCAAAAACAAAAAGCTATTGATTTTTGTATGTTGATTTTGTATACTGCACATTTATTGAAATTTTTAGTTCCAACAGATTTTTGATGGAGTCTTTAGGGTTTTTACCTAGCTTGTTGGTTGCTATGTAGTATTATGTGTTTTTTTTGAGACAGAGTTTTGCTCTTGTCACCCATCATGGAGTGCAATGACATGATCTCGGCTCATTGCAACCTCCACCTTCCATGTTCAAGTGATTCTCCTGCCTCAGCCTCTTGAGTAGCTGGGATTACAGGCATGTGCCACCATGTATTTTTAGTAGAGACAGGGTTTTACCATGTTGGACAGGCTGGTCTCAAACTCCTGACTTCAGGTGATCCACCTGCCTCAGCCTCCCAAAGTGTTGGGATTATAGGTGTGAGCCACTGTGCTCAGCCAGTATTACATGTGTTTATTTTATTATTTTACTTTTTTTTTTTTATTTTTGAGATGGAATCTCACTCTGTCACCCAGACTGGAGTGCAGTAGTACAATCTCAGCTCACTGCAACCTCTGCCTCCTGGGTTCAAGTGATTCTCTTGCCTCAACATCCTGAGTAGCTGGGATTACAGGCAAGTGCCAACATGCCCGGCCAATTTTTGCATTTTTAGTAGAGATGGGGTTTCACCATTTTGGCAGGCTGGTCTTGAACTCTTGACCTCAGATGATCCGCTTGCCTCGGCCTCCCAAAGTTCTGGGAACACAGGTGTAAGCTACTACGCCCAGCCAATTTTTGTATTTTTAGTAGACTGTATTTTACCATGTTGGCCAGGCTGGTCTCAACTCCTGACCTCAGGTGATCCACCAGTCTTCACCTCTAAAGTGCTGGGGTTACAGGTGTGGGTCACTGTGCCCGACCATATTATGCATGTTTTAAAATTTATTGCTGTGTGTGTGTATGTGTATGTAAAAAAAAATTTAGGGTGATTATGCTAGGAGCTAAGAATTTTCCTTAAAGATAGGGTCATTTAAGTGGCAGTGGGAAATGTTTTTCTCTATAGTCCGTACTTTAATGAAAAAGGATTGTTAGTGATATTAAGGTATAGAGACTAAAAGGGCAGTACTTTTATTTATGCTTTTAAGAGCTATAAAGGGCTCCATATGTTTTATTTTGGGAGATTTTTGGATGAGGAGGATATCATCTCTTTCCAGAGTTTCAGCCTGTAGAGAGGGTAAGATAAGGTTGGTGGTAACTCAGTAACTTAATGAGAAGAAACTTGGCAGAGAAAAGTAGCATTTATGAGTAATACCATCTTTACCCTCTGCCCAGTGCTACCTTATTTAACCTTCATTTAAAAAATACATTGTTTTCCTCACTAGGCACAACACTTTCACTGGGCGATGGCTGACCAGGTTTCAAGCCATGTGGGATCCTAAACAAGAAGACTGCGTCATAGTTGGCAGCATGGCCCGTCCACGACGGATAGAAATCTTCCATGAGACAGGAAAGAGAGTGCATTCTTTTGGTGGAGAATGCCTTGTCTCTGTGTGTTCCATCAATGCCATGCACCCAACTCGGTATATTTTGGCTGGAGGTAATTCCAGCGGGAAGATACATGTTTTTATGAATTAAAAAAGCTGCTGAGTTTTTGGTTTAAGAACATCAGTTTGTTCAAATTGACCACTGTCTAAGGAACCTAGTAATTGGCATAGCTTAGTGTGTTTACTTGGTAATGTGTTAAATTTAGGAAATATAAAATTGTTTTATTCATAAAACTATAAGAAGAGTTTACTTTTAGTAAGGGAGAAGTCTTGGAGGTTACTTCTGTAGGATGGGGAGGGAATGTGAGGGGAGGCTGAGGTGCCTTCAGCACTTTTTTTTTTTGAGATGGAGTTTCGCTCTTGTTGCCCAGTCTGGAGTGCAATGGCACGATCTTGACTCACTGTAACCTTTGTCTCCTGGGTTCAAGTGATTCTCTTGCCTCAGCCTCCCCAGTTGCTGGCATTATAGGCACCCGCCACCATACCTAGCTAATTTTTGTATTTTTAGTGGAGACGGGGTTTCACCATGTTGGCCAGGCTGGTCTAGAACTCCTGACCTCAGGTAAGCCACCCATCTCGGCCTCCCAAAGTACTGGGATTACACACCCAGGGCCATCAGCACTTTTAATTCTAACATTATAAATTATAAAGCTTTGACTATTATTAAAAGTTTTTATGAGTTAATGATACGGTTTTGATTCTGTAGTGATACATGGATTTTCGATCTTTTTTATAGTTTGGAATGAATACTTATTTCTAGACTCACACTGGAAGGGGACCTGGAAAGGTAATCTAACTCAGTGATTTTGAAATTTGATTTTTTTTAACTGGGAAATTTTTTTTGCCACCCTCCCTGTAGGTTAAATCTTATGTGAAATGCCAAGATAACTGCTAAGCAGTTTTGGTTTACCCAGGGCGGGGTCTGGATCTCTCTGTGCTTTCCTTTCCCCTTCCTCTAGATGGCTCCTGAGACACAGCCAGGACTCCCAAGCACAGGGTGTGGATCTGCCCTGATCCCTGCATTCCAGTGTAGGATTGCCTCATACCTGTGTTTTTCAGACTGTGGGTTTTTGCTCTTCACATGAAATCAGTTAAATGACAATGACTGGTGTTGAAAAAAATGAAAAGGAAATAATTTGTAAGGAATAGAAAACATATTTAAGTATTGTTTTGTAAAACATATATGCATATATGTTTGTACGTATATATGTTTATGTATATTCTGATGTAAAATACATATATTTTTAATTACTGTAGTACCATGGGTAATGGTTAAAGAAGTGAAAGCTACTGCTTAGAATGTCCCAGTCTTACTTGTCCCCATCTTTAAACTCTCCAAAGGATATTCAATAGTGTTAAGTGAATACCTTCATTCTTATTCATATTTGGGGGAAATGTTATGAAATACTCACCACTTTTGGTATTTCTTTCATCAAAATATTTTCTTTCCAGAAGTGATGGTAATTTCAATGTGTTGTTGGGAGGGGAGCTGCCAGATCAGTTACTTATATTACTGTGTGACATCTATCCAACTTTTTTCATACTTTTTTATTTCCACATACTACTGAAAGACTTATAAATGGCTTTGGCAATATGTTTGACTTCTAGGAGGAAATATTTTCTCACAGTTGTTTATTAGAGAAATACAGTGATATATAATCTCTTTGAGAAACAATTTCTAAATAATTTTCTTTTCTGTAGTTAAAATCTAAGTGTACAAAGGTTTAGTTTCTTAATAGGTTTAGGGGTTTATAAGTAATAGTTCTCGATTTTCTAGTTGACGTAAGTAGGGGAATTGACAAGTGAGATGGAAATATTAATTTATAAAGGGAAAGTAAAGCTAGGTGAGGTTGAATTATAATTATACTGTGCAGGAAACACTATAAAGGCTTTAGGCTACCTTTCTCATTTCTATGCCAGTTAATTTCCTGGGTTCTAGAGTGGTTAGTTCTATGGGAATTGTGTTTTTTAATTTTTTTTAAGATGAGGAAAACTACTCTCAGTCAAATTAGTGCCATCATTTAAGCTTTGAATACCTGGCGGTAATTGCCTGGACTCTTCAATAAACATTAGCAAATTCTTGATGTTTCTCACTTTTGTGGTTCCTTTTGAGATTGTAGTTTTATAAACAGTGCTATTTACATTCAATTTCACTTAATAGAGTTATCTTGAGGCAATGCAGGAAGGAAAGAGAATGAGTAGGGACTTCTTTTTTTTTTTTTTTTTTTGGTTATAATAAACTTTTAATGGAGTAATTGTTTAAATCTGGACAGCACACAAAATTGTCTTCCTTGGGACATTCTTACACTGTAATCTGTAGTGCAAGGCACTTTTCCCAGAGACTTGCTTAGAGCTGTGTGACTTCTGTAATTGTGTGTGTATTATGATTGCTCCCTTCGGGATAAAACCTTTTCTGTAAGTTTGGGCTTTATGTTATCTCTTAAGCTTTGAATTCCACTTGATGGAACGTAAGCTCTGAATTTCACTTGAGTTATTTTATTTTTAAAGATATTCAGCCTTTCGTTATGTGACTTTTCTTTTCTCCTCCTCCCCCTTTCCTTATGTGACTTTTAAGGAAGAAGCAGACAATTGTTGTTTGGGTGGTCAGAGACTTGTTCAGACTAGGAGAGACCACAAATTATTAGGAATTAATAGAATTTGAGTTGCTTAAGTCCTATTTTTAGTATTCTGGTCTTTGAGTTTTCCTTTTCACCAGGAAGATTTTGCAAAGGGAATTCTCCAGGAAAGCAGGGAGCATTGGGGCTGTGGATACAAGGATTTAAATTCTTTCAGCCAATGTACAGTACATGGGGTAGAGTGGGGGAGAAGACATACATGCCTTCTGTATTGTACTGAGAAGAGGAAATCTATGCCCCACCCTAACTAACTTGAGATTCCAAAAACTTTGATGTCCTGTTGGGTTGTCCTTTCTGACTTAGTACATTTCCCCCTGCTTTTTAGTAGGCTGTTGATAGCTAGAAATACCAAGACAGCATAGATTGTATTTTGACTCATTTGGCTATAAATATTTGGATTTTCAAATGAAAAGGTGGAATTTATGATGAAGATAACATTATCATTTTACAGAGCTTAAGGACCATACATTTTATGATACATTTTCCCCATAATGGAAGCTGAGCAAGAGAGAACTGATTAAAAGTGTGCTTAGCTGGTTTTACGCCACTCCATCAGCAGGTTGTAGGGGTCTGAAGAGGAAGCCTGTTCACAAGCTAAAACCAAGTGTGTTCAGGTGCAAAGGAGCTAGATTGTGCTGGAGGAACCCAAAGCAGAGGGAAGTAGGGACTAGAGTCCTACCAGAATGTGTGCACAGGCAGTCCTTGATAAGCTCTCAGCAGAAGGGAGGCTGCTGTGAATTGGCAGGGCCATGGGAAGTCACTCAAGTCCAGTGTTTCTTGTGCTTTTTACTCTTTGGATCACTTCAAGCAAAAACTTATGTCATAAAAACATAAAAAAATTCCACTGGGGATAGGGTGCTGGATAGCATTTTATATGTAGTGGGTACCTCTGAAATTTGGAGGTGAGTAACATAACCTGATTGATTGATTGGTGTTTAGGAAGATGATCTGGCAACAGAAATGGGAGAGTGGAGGGCGGGCAGAATTGAGAAGACAAAGATTATGTAAAAAACTAGCACAATGGATGAAGCCCCCAGTGTCACCTCTTAACCTCATGGAATTTGGAAGACCATTTCCAATTCTGTAGCCACAGAATCATGGTTACATAATTAGATGAGTTAATGCTATTGGGATATATTTTGTAAATATGTGGCTTGTTAATGTAGTGTATCATTCTAGTTCCTTCTTAGTATTTTCTGTGCTCCGACTTACTCCAGGCTTGAGTAAGAACACTGGACCAGAAGTTGGACCATCTGGGTTCTAGTACCACTATTTAATCTTGGGATAGTCACTAGCCTTCTTGGTTTTCCTTATCAGAAAAATGGTTTCCAATTCACTTTAAAATTATTACCACATTTATAGCTTCTCAGTTTCTTACTGTATTTATTTGAGGGTAGGGACAAGGATAACAGGTGGATACAAGCAAAATGATTATTTTATATGGTCCAAGTGAATAGCAGTCAGCTGTGTAAATCCTACTGGTAGCCTTTATCTGTGTTGGTAACTTTAAGGCGGAAAGTAAGACAGGCTATGAGTTAAAGAAAGAGCCCACTCTTCGATGATATTTAAATATTTATTTAAGTTTAAAAATAATAATCTTCATGGCACCAATGATTTTATGCTAACTACATACTGCATATGTAGAAAACGGTACATTGCTTTGAAGGAAAGTGTAACTTAAGAGTTTTTGGCACACAGAAGGTTAACAACTATATTTTTAAATGAAACTAAGAAATTCACATTTGCAGGTAGTTTACCTTCTACTGCTTAAAGATGCAGTACACTACTCTTTAAAGTTTTATTTCCTCTGATAGATGAAGCCATATGGAAACCATTGATTTTTCTAAAATGAGGTAAAATAATTTTGAGAAAAAATGAGAGACATGTTAGAACACAGTATAACCAGGTTAAAAACTTGAACAGTTTTTAATGGTGGAGATATACCGAAAAAGACTAGTTATCAACAAAGGAAGTTTATTATTCAAGCACTATTTGAAAAGCAAACTGAAGGAAACTTTTCTATCCGTATTTTCTGTGGTGAGCCCTGGAAAAAAAATAACCCTAAAGGTTCCTGTTTAGAGAGCAAAATTTAGCTGTTAGAAATGGCATAGACTACTGTTAGAATGCTAGACACAAGGAACATACTAGGATATGGAATACTGCATCTGTCTCTAATGTGAATATGAAAGGTCAGAGTTGAGGCTATCACTTACTGCATAGAAACACCAGATTCTACAAACTGAGGTAGGAGCACTACACTAAAAGGTCATCTGCTATGTTGCATAAGACAGTAGATATCCAGATTAACACCAGCCCCCTGTCTCCTGACAGCCTTTTCATTTCTGGGTCTACTTCTCATGTTAGTCCTGTGCTAAATAAAGCCTTTGCTATGTAGATGACAAGTAGCAGTGGCTAGTTGGTTTTAACTGACCCCTAATCTTTACTAGGATTTCCTTCGGTTTGTATTGTCACGTGATAAATAGATTTTTATAATTCTGCCCAAATTGTTGCTGGTATGGAAATGGTCAGAGAGGTCCTCTTCTTTTCTTAGATTCCACCCATGTTTTAATATTCCAGTATTTGATCTTGCCTATTTGGCATCAGACATCTCTTTGCTGGTTGGTTGGTCGAGCACCCTTTAAACAAGCCTGATGCCTCCACTGGGAAGTAGTCCCAGATGTTTGACAAATGTCAGTCATGGAAACAGAGCTGACTGACATGACTGACCCTCTTCTGCTAACATACTAGTAAGGATCAGTTTCATTGTCTAGATCAGGATTGGCATATTATGGCCTTTAGGACAAATTCAGCTGTTTTCATACAGTTTTATTGGAACACAGCCATGTTCCTTCATTTATATATTATCTATGGCTGTTTTTGTGCTGTGATGGCAGAGTTGGGTAGTTGTGACAGTATGGTGTGCAAAACCAGAATATTTACTGTGTAGCACTTTACAGAAGTTTGTTGACCTCTGGTCTAGATGAAAGGATGTCTTTCTTTAAAATTATACAAATCTCTCCCTAAGAACCCCGATTATTCCACAGTTGTATTCTAAACATGGACATGGTTCTGCTGTCTTGGGACAAAATGGGGAGGTCAAATGACAAGTGACTCATTCTGTTCTGTATTTGGGGCTGTCCAACATTATAGGGTATTAGCAGCTGCTCTACTTTTGTGTGGGTCCAGGAATATGTCCATTGACCATCCTTAAATAAGCCCGCAAGCCCCAGATGACTTAGAATTCTCTCCCTGAGATGAAAACAGGATCTTGTGTGTGATTGGTTTTAGAGTTGAAGAGCTCGGGTCTAGGACCCCACACTCACCCTTCCTGTGCCTGTGCTTCTGCGGTCCAGGGCTTTCCTCCGCAAGGATGGCAATGCTTTCCTAGAAATTATGCAGAGGATGACCCTAGGGGGCAGCACTTCTACATCTAAGTGTTGGTCTCTGCCACAGTCACCTTCTGTTTCGTAGGCATCTCTTAGAAATCCTATTTTTAAAGTTGCTTCTCCTGGTCCCTTCTAAGGCTGTTGATCTTGGAATTCTATTTTCTGAAGCTTTTCATTCTCAGGATCGGTTTCTTTCTTGCATCATTTAGTTCATCAGGCTCTATTTTCTTAATCCATAAAGTAAAAACAAAATATGAATTGTTAAGAAAATAACATTTCGTTGTTAAAATATAAATTGAATTAGTGTTTGGCGGGGGGCGGGATATATAAAATAAGCACTGCTCTCCAAATCTCAACAGTCAGGTAACTTAGCTCTACTTTAACTACATTTTATCCAACATTTCTGACAGAATTCTCTGGCACTACTGAATTCATTTGATGCCCTGGAGCACTGTAAAAGTCTTCAGAAAGAGGTTCTTCAGAAAAGAAAAATCACGTTAAGTCTAGTTTCATTATACAAAGCTAGAGCAATGCCCACTAGGCTCTAGACTAAGGGGACAGACTTACCCCACCCCTGCTGCTGCTGCTGCTGTAGCGGTGGTCCCTTCAGATGCCCACTCCGCTCAGATTTGAAAAAACAAAAGGAAAAGAAAATCCAACTCAGACCATCATAAGAAGCAACCTTCCATTTAATCATTCTACATGGATGTTTACTTTTTTAAAAATTCTGTCTGGCAAAGAAACTAAACAGTCCCCATTGTCCAGATCCCTGGCCCGCCCCTCGGAGGCTGCAGTGACAAGTGCTGGAACCCAGTGGCAGCAGCAGGAAAGCTCCTGCAGAATATGGAGGACAACAGCTCTCTAGTCTTCAACTAGTGTCCCCCCTGCTAGGTGACACTCCTGCAGTAATCAATAATAGTAAAATAAATTATTTTATTTGATACTTCAAAATAATACACCTCTATGAAAAATCAAAATTCAAAACCAAAAATTATCCTGCAAATTGGAAAAATGAGAAACAAGAGTCGCTGAGCCTTTCTTGAAAGAACTTCTGAAGAAAATGAGTTTTCCCAGTTTGTTTAGACAGGGCATGACCCTATCCCTTTCTTCTTCTGGGAAACACCCTCCTAGGCTGCAGTAGACTTTGAGTCATGAGAGGAGGACTTGGTATATGTGCCGATGGTGCCGCGATGGGTCCCATTGCTGGGAGTGGGTAGCCAGGCTCCTTGGTCCACCTGGCTAGTTTTTGGGAGGAGTCATGCCTTCTCAGGTGTCAATGAGCAGGCTCACCACTGAGCGGATTTTGCAGGCAAACCATCGCCTGAGGGGACAAAAGTATTGATAGTGGAATTGTTCAAACTCGGGAGTCTGGCGGATATCTCGGAAAAAGGCAATGTCAAGGTCAGACTCGGTAAGGATGATCAGGAGAAGGAGCAAAACAAAGAGGAGTCCCATGGTCACAAGGAGCAAACGGAGGACACTTAGAACAAACTTATTCACCTGTTCTTCCTCGGGCCCACTGTGTCCCTGACACAGGGCCCTCAACTCTCCTCCAAGGGCCTCCACCTCTGTAGCAGTAGGGGTGCTGGCTTCAGATTCCTTCTCCTCCTCGATGCTGCAGGTGGCTCCATTGATCTGCCGGGACAGCAACATCAGCTCCAGGCTGTGCTCAGCCACAGGGGTGGGCAGCACACTGTCTGCAGGGCTGTAGGCCTCGTCTGCAATCACAGCTACTCGCTCATTGCTCTCTGTCCGGCTGCTTCTCACATGAGGCAGGAAGGTGTCCCCATGGGAAGAGGAACGCACTGGTGTGGAATGAGCACTGTCCCGTAGGGATTCTAGGCCTAGAAAGGCAAAAGGAACATGAGTAGGCTGTTCCACTGCACCCTTTGCTTTCTAGTAGCACCCATTGTGTTTTGTTGGGTGTCACTATGCACACCCACATGACCAGCATCTGTAGCTGCTGCACTCTATTTTGATTTATCAAGAAGACGACAGGCATCTTGAGCTCATAAGGTCAGTGTTTTTGGATTTCTGCAGCTGCTGTCAGTTTCTTCAGCCTCTGTTCTAGCTGTTCTGACCTTATGCAATGGTGGGGTAGAAATTCTGCACTTTCTGAGGGGGCATGGGAGTAGTCCCTGGCCAGCTCCCTCTCTTTTCCCCCAAGAAGGAGCTGGGTCTAGAATAGGCTAAAAGCTCCCATATCTTTAGACATGTCAGAGCACAAAACAGTATTTGAGATCTTGTTGGGTCGATGGGGGTGGGAAGGGTGGATTTCTCTTACATTTGGTATGAGAAAGGGGTATTCTAGCCCCTAAAACTACACATTATCATCATCTCCTCCTCCCCTCTTTCCAAGGTTCTCAGGGCTCAAGCCCTGGCAGGGAAAACAGGAGCTGGTTATACCCTCAACTGAACAGCAGTTCAATTTAGGTGAACCAGGCCAGAGGCTTTGGGCATATAGTGAGCAAGTATGGCCTACATCACAGTGCTCCCAAGAAAACGGCGTCTTGTTCTAGGCTTGACGTCTACATTTTCCACTCCTGGCCATATTAGTGGTGCTGGTGTGGTTCTCTCTGCCTCTGTGACCTATGACAAGAAACACTGGTCCCCTTCTGTTGCTCTGCAATAGTCCCTGACAATTCCAGACTGAATCAGACTTCCCAGCTCAGTAAAGGAAGTCAGGGCTAGCTCCAGAAGCCCAAAGATGTCTCATTTTTTTTCTCCCTTCTCCCAGGACATGAAGCAGCCTAGTCTATTAGTCTCCTTTTAATAGAGACTAATAGAAATCTCTATTAAAAAGGTGTTAAGTAACCTTTCAGAAGCAACGCCTGGAGTGGACCTCAGCAGTCCTACAGCAGAGGGGCCAGACTGTTAGAAGGAAAATAAGAAACAGAAATATTTCATCATCAACAATCTGGACATCCAATCAGAGACCCAAATGGAAAGTCAGCAACTACTCAGACAACAGGTGGATAAATCCACAAAGATGGGAGGAAACCAACGCAAAAAGGAGGAAGACACCTGAAACCAGAACACCTCGTCTCCTACAAGGGACCACAACTCCTCACCAGCAAGGGAACAAACCTGGATGGAGAATGAGTGTGATGAAATGACAGAATCAGACTTCAGAAGTTGGGTAATGAGAAACTTCCGTGAGCTAAAAGAACACATTCTAAATCAATGCAAAGAAACTAAGAACCTTGAAAAAAGATTTGAGGAAATGATAACAAGAATGGACAACTTAGGAATATGAGTGAATTGATGGAGCTGAAAAACACAACACCAGAACTTTGTGAAGCATGCATAAGTCTCAACAGCTGAATTGACCAAGCAGAAGAAAGGATATCAGAGGTCGAAGATCAATTCAATGAAATAAAATGAGAAGGCAAGATTAGAGAAAAAAGCGCAAAAAGGAATGAACAATGTCTCCAAGAAATGTGGGACTATGTGAAGAGACCTAACCTATGTTTGATAGGTGTACCTGAATGTGACGAAGAGAATGAATCCATGCTGGAAAACACTCTAAAGGATATTATCCAGGAAAATTTCCCCAACCTAGCAAGGCAGGCCAATATTCAAGTCCAGGAAATACAGAGAACACCACAAAGATATTCCTCAAGAAGAGCAACCCCAAGGCACATAATCATCAGATTCAACAGGGTTGAAGTGAACGAGAAAATGCTAAGGGCAGCCAGAGAGAAAGGTCGGGTCACCCACAAAGGGAAGCCCATCAGACTCACAGCAGATCTCTCAGTAGAAACCCTACAAGCCAGAAGAGAGTGGGGGGCAATATTCAACATCCTTAACAGAACTTTCAACCCAGAATTTCATATCCAGCCAAACTGAGCTTCATAAGTGAAGGAGAAATAAAATGCAAATAAGCAGATACTCAGAGATTTTGTCACCACCAGGCCTGCTTTTCAAGAACTTCTGAAAGAGGCACTACACATAGAAAGGAACAACCAGTACCAGCCATTCCAAAAACATACCAAATGCTAAAGAGCATCAATAAAATGAAGAATCTGCATCAACTAACGGGCAAAACATCCAGCTAGCATCCTAAATGGCAATATCAAATTCACACATAACAATATTAACACTAAATGTAAATGGGCTAAATGCACCAATCAAAAGACACAGACTGGCAAATTGGATAAAAAGACAAAACCCATCGGTGTGCTGTATCCAGGAAACCCATCTCACATACAAGGATACACAAAGGCTCAAAATAAAGGGATGGAGGAAGATTTACCAAGCAAATGGAGAGCAAAAAAAAGCAGGAGTTGCAATTCTCATCTCTGATAAAATAGACTTTAAAGCAACAAAGATCAAAAGAGACAAGGGAGGACATTACATTGTAAAAGGATTGATACAACAAGAAGAGCTAATGATCCTAAATATATATGGACCCAATACAGAAGCACCCAGATATATAAGGCAAGTTCTTGATGACTTACAAAGAGACTTAGACTCTCCCACAATAACAGTGGGAGACTGTAACACTCCACTGTCAATATTAGACAGCTCAACCAGACAGAAAATTAACAAGGATATCCAGGACTTGAACTCAGACCTGGAACAAGCAAACCTGATAGACATTTACAGAACTCTCCACCCCAAATCCACAGAATATACATTTCTCTCAGCACCACATCATACCTACTCTAAAATTGACCACATAATTGGAAGTAAATCACTCCTCAGCAAATGTAAAACGACTGAAATAATAACAAACTGTCTCTCAGACCATAGTGCAATCAAGTTAGAACTCAGAATTCAGAAACTAACTCAGAACCGCACAGCTTCATGGAAACTGAACAACTGGCTCTTGAATGTTGACTGGATAAACAATGAAATAAAGGCAGAAATAAAGAAGTTCTTCGAAACCAACGAGAATGAAGACACAACATACCAGAATCTCTGGGACACGTTTAAAGCAGTCTCTAGAGGAAAATATATAGCAATAAGTGCCCACATGAGAAGAGTGGAGAGATCCAAAATTGACACCCTATTGTCAAAATTGAAAGAGTTAGAGGAGCAAGATGAAAAAAACTCAAAACCTAGCAGAAGACAAGAAATAACTAAGATCAGAGCAGAACTGAAAGAGACAGAGACACGAAAAACTCTTCAAAAAATCAATAAATCCAAGAGCTGGTTTTTTGAAAAGATCAAAATAGATAGACCCCTAGCCAGATTAATAAAAGAGAGAAAACCAAATAGATGCAATAAAAAACGGTAAAAGGGAAATCACCACAGATTCCACAGAAATTCAAACCATCATACAAACAACTCTATGCAAATAAGCTAGTAAATCTGGAAGAAATGGATAAATTCCTGGACACTTGTGTCCTCCCAAGCCTAAACCAGGAGTAAGCCAAAACTGAATAGACCAATAACAAGGTCTGAAGTTGAGGCAGCAATTAAGAGCCTACCACACAAAAAAAGCCCAGGTCCAGATGGGTTCACAGCCGAATTCTACCAGACACACAAAGAGGAACTGTTACCATTCCTTCTGAAACTATTCCAAATAATCAAAAAAGAGGGAATCCTTCCCAAATCATTTTATGAGACCAACATCATCCTGATACCAAAACCTGGCAGAGACTCAACAAGAAAAGAAAACTTCAGGCCAATATCCATGATGAATATAGATGCAAAAATCTTCAATAAAATACTGGCAAGCTGATTGCAACAGCACATTAAAAAGCTTATCCACCATGATCAAGTAGGATTCATCCCGGGGATGCAAGGCTGCTTCAACATACGCAAGTCTATAAACGTAATTCACCACATAAACAGAATCAAAAACAAAAACCACATGATTATCTCAATTGATGCAGAGAAGGCCTTTGACAAAATTCAATAGCCCTTTATGCTAAAAACCCTCAATAAACTCGGTATTGATGGAACGTATCTCAAAATAATAAAAGCTATTTACGACAAATCAACAGCCAATATCATACTGAATGGGCAAAAACTGGAAGCATTCCCTTTGAAATCTGGCACTGGACAAGGATGCCCTCTCTCACCACTCCTATTCAATATAGTACTGGAAGTTCTAGCCAGAGCAATCAGGCAAGAAAAAGAAATAAAGGGTATTCAACTAGGAAAGGAGGAAGCCAAATTGTCTCTATTTCCAGACGACATGATAGTATATCTAGAAGACCCCATCGTCTCAGCCCAAAAAACTCCTGAAACTGGTAAGCAACTTCAGCAAAATCTCAGGATACAAAATCAATGTGCAAAAATCACAAGCATTCCTATACACCAATAACAGACTTAAAGAGAGCCAAATCAAGAACAAACTGCCATTCACAATTGCTACAAAGAGAATAAAATACCTAGGAATACAACTAACAAGGAACGTAAAGGACCTCTTCAAGGAGAACTACAGACCACTGCTCAACGAAATAAGAGAGGACACAAACAGATGGAGAAACATTCCATGTTCATGTTTAGGAAAAATCAGTATCATGAAAATGGCCATACTGCCCAAAGTAATTTACAGAATCAATGCTATCCCCATCAAGCTACCAATGACCTTCATAGAACTGGAAAAAAACCACCTTAAACTTCATATGGAACCAAAAGAGAGCCCGCATAGCCAAGTCAATTCTAAGCAAAAAGAACACAGCAAGAGGCATCACACTACCAGACTTCAAGCTATACTACAAGGCTACAGTAATCAAAACAGCATGGTACTGGTACCAAAACAGAGATATAGACCAATGGAACAAAACAGAGGCATCAGAGGCAAAACAACATATCTAGTGTCATAGAATCTTGGATAAACCTGACAAAAGCAATGGGGAAAGGATATCCTGTTTAATAAATGGTGTTG